AGTGTTATTTTAAGTTACAAACTTTGACAAACTTCTTCTCAATTTCTGCAAAGCCTTGAGTCTTGATATTTCATGTGTAAGATATCTGATCAATTATCTATCAAATTTGTAAATATAAATGACCTTGACCCACATTCAAGGTCACAGGGGTCAATTATGTAAAAATCGTTAAATGGTAATTCCTCCATTGTTAAGCTGCCCAAAGTCTTCAACTTTGGACATAATTATTCTGTGGACATTTCCTGTCGAATGATATAAGAGAAACGTACCACAAATTCAACTTCCGGTTTGCGGTAGGGGGTCAAAGTTTAAAAGTTCTATTAAGGGTACCAATCTTTGAAAAACTTCTTCTCTAGTTCTGGAAGGCCTAGAGGCTTGATATTTCATAAACAAGAAGGATATGTAACTGGCAACAAAGTTTGATAATATAAATGACCTTGACCCACTTTCAAGGTCACAGATGTCAATTAACTAAAAATCGTTAAATGAAAGTTTCTCAATTTCTAGAAGGCACACAATGATGAAAATTGATTATAAACATTCTGTGGAGGCTTCCTAGTGATTTTCATAAGGAAAACTTACCTCAAAATGTCAACTTCCGGTTTCCCAAAGGGGTCAAAGTTCAAATATACAAAATAGGGTACCAGTGTTCAACAATCTTCTTGTCAAGTTTCACAAGGTCTAGAGAACTAATATTAGGGATATATTGATCATCAGATGTTACATTATAAGGCTTGCAAATATGAATAACCTTGATCAACATTCAAGGTCACAGGGGTCAAATATATTTGAACCTTTAAAAAGTGTATTTCTTCGTTATTATGTAGTTATATCACCTAAACGTTTCAAGATTCAAAGTTCATCTTTGGATATTTTGTAGAGACTAACAAACAAGGAATCTTTCTCATATATCGTTATCAGGATAAATGTCAACTTCTGGTCAACTTGTCGCCAAAGGAGTGAAAGGCCCGCCAAATTGTTCACAACAATTTCTAGTTACTGATTCTATTTGTACTGATTTGAGAAGAATTTTGTCCTGCTGTGTACAATGGTCCCAAATTACATGAACATATTCCAAGACTGGTCAGATAATTCCTACATAGATTTTAACTAATTTTCTATTGACTATAGTTTTCACATATAGGCTTTGTATATAAGTTTTGTATGTTTTTTCCATGTTGCATCTTTTGCAGAGTAAGACCTAAGTGCTGGTGTGATGCTGTATCTAACATTTGTTTGTTTTGGAAAGACATTGGTGGAAGATAGGTGTCTTGTTTTCGTGGAAAAATAACTGATTTTGTTTTGTTGGAATTTTTGTTTAAATTAATATTCTAGACAGTTTCCCATTCATCTATGTTAATTAGACCTGTGTTCAGATATTGTTATCGTCTACTACAACATATAGGGAAGTAGCATCTGCAAAGAGTTTAACATTAGTAATAATATCATTGATAGAGAGAAGAAATAGTAGTGGACCAAGTACTGATCCCTGAGGAACCTCGGCATTTACATTCTTAAACTGTGAAAAATAACCTTCTGTAACCATAGTAATATATTCCTTTTATACCATATAATTTAAGCTTATGTAAAAAAATCTTCATGCCATACTCTATTAAAAGCCTAACTGATATCACAAAATAATCTAAACTCATTCCCTTTATCCATATGCCTAACAATTTCATTGTAGATAAATAAAAACTGAATGACATTAGAGTCACTGGGAGCAAAAGCCAGATCGATGTATATAATGATATTACTTTCAAAAAGATATTAAAAGATGATTTTTTTTCCCAAACGCTTACAAAAGCATAAAGTTATAGAAATTGATCAATAATTCTATACATCATTGGATGAACCACTTCTCGTATAGATAGCATTAATATTTTCTTGTCTCCAACTTATACTTAAGGTATCTTTCCTTTTTAATGTTTTTAAAATAGCAGCATGAGAGGTAGTTGATGTGAAGCGTGATTTTTTTAAATAAAATACCACCAGGGCCAGGAGGTTTACCGGTGCTGAGAATTTTGATTTGGTCTGAAACAACTTGTTCAGTGACTTGAATATTTGTTAATGAATATGGGATATAAGGTTGAGATGTCTGAGGTAAATCAAGGTTGGGTGATGAAGTTAATATATTTTTTAATTGGTTATGTAGAAGTTCTGTGTTGTCAGCTGGGTGATGGATTAGTTGATTGTTGGATTGAACAGGAGAAATGGAAGAGGAATTATTAGTAGTGGATTTAGCTATCACCATCATTTATCTGGAGTAACATTACTAATTTAGCTTTTCTGTTTGTTCTTTTACGTTGTCTTATTTTCAGTCTAATTATATTATCCATCCATGGTTTACCATATGGATACACTACTTCTACTTCAGTAGGAATGAAGTTATTGATCAGTGATTACATTAAAGATTGTAATATTAAATCTACTTTTCCTTCATTCTTTGATGGATTTCCTTTGAATTTTGTCTGAAACATCATTAGGGACAGGCAGTTAATCCTTAAGCTCAGAAAATTGATTATATCCCTAGTGACGTAAGGGCGGTGCCCCAAAAGGGAAAGTTAATATTTTGCTTCAAAATACTGCTCCTTCTGAATGCCTGGGTAGATTCCAACCAAGGTCTGAAACATCATTTGGGTCGAGAATCGTTTCTTAAAACCCCCAAAACTCATTTGATCCCTAGGGACCTCGGGACGGGAAGTATAAAGTAAAAAAAAAAAAAAAAAAAACAGAAACAAATCAAATGCGTGATTTTTTAAAAAATATTTTAATAACATTAAGACATATCAATTTTAGCAGGTGCTGGCATCCCTTTCATGTCATACATATACCTGGGTGAACGTCCGACACACCTGGACACGTGTGTGTCCATACCCCATTTTCACGAATCTTCCTTAACCTGAGGAAATCTTAAATACCATAAAGAACAGTACATCTGTTAAAAAAACCCTGAAGTTTAAGGAAATTTCCTGTACCTAGTATGTAATGCTTTTCAATGGGCAATCTTAATCAAAGGAAAAATTCCTTGAGTTAAGGGAAATTCGTGAAACTGGGGCCATGGTCACCACCTGGTCTCAAAATGTGTTATTAACCTGTATATTACAGGCTAATCAGATTGAGAGAGTGACTATTGTATGTTATTGTAAACCCTAATGTTAACTGTGTATTAGAAGTTTGATAAGAAAAAGAAAATGACCAACAGGCGGCTATCTTAAATTTTTATTAAGAAAGTTTGTTATTGCTACTTCTTGAGAAATACTGCAAATACATTTCTCAGTTTTTATAAATGCATTCCCTTTGGTCTCAACTTGTGTCCGTTTGATTTGGGACTGATCAGAAACTAAAAATAGTTTCCAGGCGACCATATTGGATTTGGCATATAAAGATTGTCATCGCCATTTCTGCAGAGACCGGGGATGAGAAAAGAAGGGAAATGATACAACGTTCAAAGAGCAAATAAAGATCAAACAATGGAGGGCGTCATGATCCCTTAGGGAAATTTGAAAATTGACATTTATCATTCTCCGTGCTGTATTACAGTAAATCTTTTTCAGTCAGATGACCTTAACACCCATTGGCCACTTGGTAAAAAAGACTACATTAATTTTTATTTTTTTGAACAAGGTCACTAGGAAAAAAGCATGGCATAGTAGATAATTCCAGAATAACACAATTGCTGTGTCAGTTAAAAAGAAGGAAACTATCGGAGAAAGGCAGACAACTCGGATGAAGATATGTATGAACTTGAAAGGAAAAGAAGGGTAGAGACTGAAAGCAGGGATGAAAATGAGGATGAAGCTGAAGGGAAACTAAAAGAGGTGGAGTATCTAGAGAAATGCCATACCTTTGTTGAAGTAAAACCAAGCACGATATATGGCATTGTTCTCTTAGATCGAAAAGTCATTAAACAAATTTTAGCTGAAGCTACCACAAATAGCTTTGCTCAAAGTTAACATGAACAGGAACTCCCTGTCACAATTCCCAATTCCAACATAAGGTGCTGCATCAGAGCATGTTCCCATTTGTCTGTATCACCATGAAAATGACTACTTACTGCACATCCGGGGACAGCTTTCTCTATTTTTCCTTTCATGTCTGGTCCCAGACTAGCTAGGTTAGGCCACTACAATAATCATTTGGCTTTTCTTGAATTTCACCCTTTTTACTAAAAGAAATATTCATTCTTTCATACATCTTGAGAAGTCAGGATTACAGAAAGATTTAGAGGAATTTCTTAAGTTTTGCAGAAAGTAGAAACAAGGGTAAATATTATTTTATCTGCATCTAATGATCCTGTTTCTCTCCGCACCAAGAAATGTGTTTTCATATGTAAATTTGTGATCTAGTTAAACTATTTTTTGTTCTGTCAGATTTGTACACTTGACCAGAAGTTGGCCATTTTGGATTCCAGGAAATCTCGGGACAGATCTTTATAAAATTTTATTGGTGAATGTTATACTGTAATGTGTTGGGAAATGATTGGGTCCACCTAAAGACATGAAAGGGCCTGAATCTTGACCTGAATAGAATATAGGGTAAACTGATCATGAATCAGACATGATCTAGTGTCAGACATTTTCTATGAAATCTTATATGCATTTTAGTCTGAAACTTGTAATATTAACATGTAAATAAATCTTCTGAACCTAGAATAATAATTCTTTAGCAACAACCAGCCTTTCTAATCTTTATAGTGTGTGACTTTAGAAGCCCCTTTAGAGGAAAATTTGAGGAGTTTTTCCTTAATCTGTCTTAAGATACATAATATTTTAGATTTTAATTTGGGTAAAGTCAAATCATCTTGATAACAAGGTCATTGCTTATGTTCATATCAAAATACAGCAACATGGCCATACAGGATAAAGCTTTGCAGTTAAAGAATTTTTTTTTTATAATATGTTTCAATCATATGATGCATGGTATTGTTACATCTACCACAAAAAAAGTCTTAATAATTGTCTCATGAATTTTGTCCAAGAATAGAAAAGAAAACAAACTTAACAAATTCTGATAATTTTAATTGCATTATAATCAATAACAAATTATCCAAACCAAATTACCAAGACAAAATAGGAAATTATTACACATGTGTTGACTCAGATTTAATGTTAATAAAAGATATTTTTGAATTTTCCTATCAGTCCTTTTAAATCACCCTCACAATGTGAAATAAAATTATAAAATTTCAGATTAATTAACAATTCTTCTTTATCAAATTACAGTAACAATATAGCATTTATTATTAGGCAGTCATAACAGGGCTGATGAATTTTATCTCCGTAAGTAAAGAAAAACACCATAATTTGCCTGCATATGTACATGTAAACATATTCATTATTGGTTCATTCTTAATCATTCGTTAAAGCTTTGAAAGTTTTGCCATCAGCCATACAACCATTATAAAATACACAAAACAAAGAGGCCCATAGGGTCATGTTCCTCATCTTGATTTGCTTGACTGAAATTGCATATTATTCTAACCACGATGGAGTTATTTCTGGTCGACAATATACAAAATATACCACAAAGTGTTATTTTCCTTCTTGGAACCTAATTCAAAATCCCTTTGAAAATGGAGGTTATGAAATTAATGATTTTGAAAAAGCACCATGGGACTTTCAGCCGACCTTGAAAAATTGTACTAAGCACAAAAGTTAAATGTAATGCAAGTCCAGCTTCCAGCATCCATACTTTTCAGAGCTGATGAGACCATAGAACTTGGATATTTTGTACATATAAATGTACTGTATGATCCAGCTATGAATGAAGTATGATAAAAGTTTGGATTTAAACTTTTTGAGAAAGGGATCTAAACCCAAAACTTTAAAGTAAAATGTTAATCACACACTGTTGCCAGCGGATTTACACCATAATCTCGCTTCTGTAACTCTTCTTCACAGGCATGATAAAAATGATTGTTTAAAGTTATATGACTTACTAAAAACCTGGAGCATACCAGTATTTCTTAACAAAAGTATTTAATTTAATGTTTACGTGTTAATGTTTTTCTACAAATATTTCCCAGACATCTGTGTAACTTGTAGAGATGACATAACATGTATTGGTCTTAAACATAATTTTTTCCACATTGGTTTAATTTTCAAAGCTCACTTTTCCAAATTTAAATTGCAATCCACACACAGTTAATCTGCTTCTTTCATAGAAAGTGGCACAACTTGGAATGGTTTGAGACTAGAATCTTTATACATAATTGGTATGACAGTGAAATAACTTGATGGATAGCAGTAGAAATCGATTCTAATTTGACATCCGTCACAGATCAGTGGCTGTATTTCTGTACTTTAATGCATGATTCTATTCATTTCAAAATCAATTGATCGATTCAAATCACTTTTTTTCATTTATTCCGCTATAACTACACTTACATTTCATTTTTTTATTTGACTGACCAGAACAAATATCTTCATGGCATTTAAATGCAAAGATCTCTCCAAAATCTATTTCCACATTAAGAATTCCTAAGAATTCATATAGCACGATAATATTTAAGCATGAGAGTTTCTATTCACAGCGGTCAGGGTGAGCCCATTGGTCCAACACTCGGCCGATCTTCTGTTTGATAGGATCCGTTGCATCTGACATCTCCTTGACAACAGACTGGAATAAACAATTTCAACCAAATTAAGACATAGCCAGACAAAGAAATATTTACAACATTATAACCATAGATTATCCACCTGCACAATGTGAACATACTGCCAAGGAATCAATTCCTCCAAATGATTTTTCAGTACCATGTTATCCTGTCCATGTTGGTGTAATTTTTCAAGACTTATTCACAGATAATTGTTCTGGTGGTCACATTATACTCCTGCGGCACACAAATTCAACATCTTAAATTTGTACGAAATCATCTTCTGACCATCCTTACAAAGCTTAATCAATATCATTCTAACAGTATTTGAATTCAAAATAGATTCTAAAGATGACAGTAATGTTGACTAACTTGAATTTCATTTTCACTAAAATATCATGGAATTTACCCTGTTTTAATCATTTGCATGAAATTTCATCAATATCTGCCAAGAAATGGATGCCAAATGGAGCCCCTTAGCTCACATGAGCCTTAATTCATCTCTGATGAGTTAATTAGGTGCTATGAATTATACTTTAATTATAAATCTATAACTTTGGATATAGTATACCTTAATTATTATATATTGGCAAGTTTAAATGATAAACTTACATCTGGCAATGTTATGACTTGGCTATTTTCCACCATCTGTTCCGGAGTCCTAGCCCCGACAATGACCACTGGGCAGTTGTCCTGTTGTAACACCCAGGCCAGTGAGGCCTGTGCCATACTAACACCAGCGTTCTTACAAATTGCTTGTAATTTTGGCAATGCCTGCAAGAAGAACCAACAATACATGTAATTAATATACTAGATAATTTGGTGATTAAACAACATGTAGAATAGTCACAAATACCAACAAGAGGCCCAATGGGCCTGAACGGCTCACCTAATTTACAGCTTACAAAGAAATACTTTGTCTGTTCATAGTCAATTTCAAAAACACAAAATTCTATTCCTAGGACTTATTCCTTGTTGACAGAAGAAGTTCTTCACACATTTGACCCCAGTAACCTCGACAGTAGGTCAGGGTCGATTATGTGGAAGAATTTCGTAGCATTTTATATAAGGCCTAGATCTTTTGATTAATGATGTTTCAAGATTTTAACACATTTCACTTCCATGATTCTTGAAAGTGGGTCATTTCTTTTAAGAAATTTGGTAGCCATTCTTCCTTGCATGCTACAGACCCAAAATCAGCACCCTGGGCTTTTGGTTAGTGAGAAAAAATTGACCTCTGTGATATAGAATATTGTTCAAAGTAATTTCTTTTCTCAAATTTTGTTGGGCCTTAGTCAAGGATCCTGTCAGCCAAACATCATTACTTTGGCACCCATTTTATTGCTGCTGTAACATTTGGTTACTCAGCAGAAAAGTTTTCAGGTTTAAACAAATATGACATTGGAGACCTTGAATATGCAAACAGTGTTGGTCCTAATTGGCCAAGTGAGTTAAAAGCAACAAGCCTCATACTTTTAAATCCCAAAATGTTTTTCTGTCAATGCATCAAGTCTTTAAAAAAGTTAAATGTCAAAACATTGTCAAATATAGCAATATTTCAAAATTTACATGTTTTAGCTACTTTGCAATTTGAACTTGTGAAATTTCTAAAGAAGAAAAATTGTATTCAGACTAAGAGAGAAGAAAAATATAGAAAGCCAGTAATTCATAAAAACATGAAGAACAAGAAGTTAAAATGGACATCTATTACACATACTCTAATACCTGTAGCAATAAAAAGAAAGCAGTAACATATTTCTGCTTCTAATTCATTTTCTTATATGTAAAATTTCAGAATCTGATTTATTTTTTAACCATTTGACCAGCAACTAGAAATGTTCCAGTTTCTTCATTTGAGAAATTTAACAAAATGTTGGTATTAAAACCACAGATGCTTTCATCTTTTACAGGAAATTAATTTTGACAAGAATGATAAATTTGCACCATGAATTAGATAAATATGATTTAGATTACCTCGAACACTTCCTTCTCAGCTCCTGGTTGTCCATGTCTGGCAGATTTACAGCTGTAAAAAATATATAATGATCCATGTAAAGTCACCGATTATTACAGTCAACTAAAATACATTTATGTTTTTTTAAGTTGAATACAAGATGTTTGGAGAAGTGTCATTGCATCTAGTCAACCATAAACAGCCTACATAACTGACCATACACCTATAGCCTACATAACTGACCATACACTAAAAGCCTAGGTAATAGGACATACACTATATTCTTGCTAATTGTTTTCAAATGAATAAAGAAACTTCTTGAGAAATTATAAGTTTTGGATTATATGAGGTATTCAATGTGTGATACAAAATGTTTCAAAAGTGCAAAAAGTTCCTGTTTTTGATTCTATGTAAGATTTGTGATACTTCAGATCATTTGTTCATAATGCATCACATTCAATGCCACTCTTAATTGATATTATGTTACAAGAACAAGCCCTTACATAAAACAATGAAAGCTACAAAACAAAAAAACCTCATATACGTTTTACCAACAGTCAAGCTTTCTGTGATGTGGGTTTTTTTTAAAATCAAAATGAGACTTTCCAGAAACCTGGTAAAAAGATTTCATTGGTCAACAGCACACACATCCAAATCAAGATGGCTGCTCTCTGTTGTAACCACTTTGATGAAATCTTACAACAATTTCCCGTTTCTCTTGGAATCACTTCATGACCTTCTCAAACTTGATTTAACATTTACTAGTTAATGTTTATACATAATCTCTGATCTGAAACTATGCCACAGAAAATATGCAGTTAAGTTAGTAGACTTATGGCACAAATAGCGACTGAAACTGGAAGTAAAAGTTCTTTGATGGTGACAGTTTCATTGTACTGCAATTGACCAGACTCTTCAGTTAGGAAGTATTCAAGCACCTGGGTGAACAAGACTATTATATGACAATTTTAAATGGGCAGAGTTATCTTTCCTTTCCATTTATATGCAGGACTGTTTACATCCCAAATTATAACATGATGCTTTTTCAATAATCATCGTCCAATTTGATTTCTCAAATTGCATGGTAAACCAACTTAAATACAGTGCTGATTTTACACATATTTAAGCTCATAACAGATTTCTAAACCAGGTATTTTACCTATGAAGAAAGACGTAATCTGCATCAACATATGTGATACAGACTTTTTAAAAATTTGTTTTGAAATGTAATTTGAAAAGAATGTTATATGCTTACCATTAAAATAAAAATCTTTAATGGCTAAAGACCATTATTCAGCATTTCCACATTGAACATTAGAGATAACAATCCGCAGTTCGGTATGATTTTATTCATTTAAAATCTTAGGAAAACATGAGCTGGTTTTTGTTTACCAGGGTTAGAGTATTTCGTCTTTAATCATTGACTTTTGATATGTTACAGTAGATACAAATTATACCTTTCTGGGGAAAACAGCTTTCCCCTCTTTCTTCCCTCAGGAACATCTTCTGTAGAAGTAAATCTGCCACTAAGAAGGCCCTGTTGGAGGGGGGAGTAGGCGAGGATTCCAATGTTTCTCTTCTTACACTCTGGTATCACATCAAACTCGGATGACCTCCACAGCAAATTGTACCCCATCTATATATATATATATCACACTTCAGTACTCACAATTATACATCAAAACTGACAGATCTCCACAGCAAGTTCTACCCCATCTATATATAAACACCATACTTCAGTACTCACAATTTATACATCAAAACTGACATCTCCACAGCAAATTGTACCCCATCTATATATAAACACAAAACTTCAGTACTAATAGTTTATACATCAAAACTGACATCTCCACAGCAAATTGTACCCCATCTATATATAAACACAAAACTTCAGTACTAATAGTTTATACATCAAAACTGACGGATCTCCACAGCAAATTGTACCCCATCTATATATAAACACAGAACTTCAGTACTAATAGTTTATACATCAAAACTGATGGATCTCCACAGCAAATTGTACCCCATCTATATAAAAATATCCCACTTCAGTACTCACAATTTATACATCAAAACTGACGGATCTCCACAGCAAGTTCTACCCCATCTATATAAAAATATCCCACTTCAGTACTCACAATTTATACATCAAAACTGACGGATCTCCATAGCAAGTTCTACCCCATCTATATAAAAATATCCCACTTCAGTACTCACAATTTATACATCAAAACTGACGGATCTCCACAGCAAGTTCTACCCCATCTATATAAAAATATCCCACTTCAGTACTCACAATTTATACATCAAAACTGACGGATCTCCACAGCAAGTTCTACCCCATCTATATAAAAATATCCCACTTCAGTACTCACAATTTATACATCAAAACTGACGGATCTCCATAGCAAGTTCTACCCCATCTATATAAAAATATCCCACTTCAGTACTCACAATTTATACATCAAAACTGACATCTCCATAGCAAGTTCTACCCCATCTATATAAAAATATCCCACTTCAGTACTCACAATTTATACATCAAAACTGACATCTCCATAGCAAGTTCTACCCCATCTATATAAAAATATCCCACTTCAGTACTCACAATTTATACATCAAAACTGACATCTCCATAGCAAGTTCTACCCCATCTATATAAAAATATCCCACTTCAGTACTCACAATTTATACATCAAAACTGACATCTCCATAGCAAGTTCTACCCCATCTATATAAAAATATCCCACTTCAGTACTCACAATTTATACATCAAAACTGACATCTCCATAGCAAGATCTACCCCATCTATATAAAAATATCCCACTTCAGTACTCACAATTTATACATCAAAACTGACATCTCCACAGCAAGTTCTACCCCATCTATATAAAAATATCCCACTTCAGTACTCACAATTTATACATCAAAACTGACATCTCCACAGCAAGTTCTACCCCATCTATATATAAACACAGAACTTCAGTACTAATAGTTTATACATCAAAACTGACATCTCCACAGCAAGTTCTACCCCATCTATATATAAACACAGAACTTCAGTACTAATAGTTTATACATCAAAACTGACATCTCCATAGCAAGTTCTACCCCATCTATATAAAAATATCCCACTTCAGTACTCACAATTTATACATCAAAACTGACGGATCTCCACAGCAAGTTCTACCCCATCTATATAAAAATAACTTCAGTACTCACAATTTATACATCAAAACTGACGGATCTCCACAGCAAGTTCTACCCCATCTATATAAAAATAACCCACTTCAGTACTCACAATTTATACATCAAAACTGACATCTCCACAGCAAGTTCTACATCTATATATAAACACAGAACTTCAGTACTAATAGTTTATACATCAAAACTGACATCTCCATAGCAAGTTCTACCCCATCTATATATAAACACCACACTTCAGTACTCATAGTTTTTTTTTATATCAAACAAAAATTATGGCTTATCCTAATTTAGTAGAAAAAAAGTACCTGGTTGGAAACAATTTTGGCTCCAGCATCTGAGAAAGCTTTGATATTTTTAGGTCCAAAGTTTGAAACACCATAGTGACGGATTCTTCCAAGGGCTATCTGTCTATCAAGCTCTTTGATGGACTCATCAAAGTCACACAGGAAACTGGGGAAATGCACCTGTTCAAAAAAGCCAAATTTAATTATTGCAAAGACCCTGAACCATCTCCTTCACAAATATAAACAATCAGGAAAACGCAAACAATTATAAACACAAAGTAATTAACAATAAATACAAAATAGACTACACAAAACGAAAAAATAAACCCAACATGTGATAGACAGGTTATAAATAAACATGACATCTTTTATGACAGGAAATAAACCAACTAAATGTATAATGACAGGAAATAAATAAACATTATGTGGATCATGACAGGAAGTAAATAAACATTATGTGGATCATGACAGGAAGTAAATAAACATTATGTGGATCATGACAGGAAATAAATAAACATGACCTGTATTATAACAGGAAATAAACAAACATTATGAGTATTTTGACAGGAAATAAGTGAACATAACATATGAAGCTGAAGTCTGGTGTAAATATTGCTGACTGATCTGGATAACCCACATAGAGTAGACACTTCCAATTGTGACATTCTATCATTATGAAGAATCTTACATATTCTGTACAAGGTTTCCCTAGAATTAACATAGAATAGTATAATGTTATAATTAATTTCATGGTATTCAGTATGTTTTCTCTCTTGAAAGAATCAACTGTTGTATTCTTTTAGATAATGTTGCATACTTAATCACATTTTGTCAATAGTATTTCTCATTTAAATGAATGTGTAAAAAAAATGTAAATTCTAAAGATATTGATTCATTTTACGAACCTTCTCACCGTTTGAACAAGCAATTAAAAAACTCTGTTGATATGGATATAAAGAATAAATATGATTATCATCCTAATCTGATATCTTTATCTATTCTAACTGATACTAACAACTGAAAAAGGCACTCAACTGACATAAATGAATATGAACTTTTATCAAAAAGTACTGATGTCATAACAAGTACATCTTCTGTCATGTGTAGGTTATACTTAGTTACATAATGTCATAACCAGACATGTTCATCAACTGTCGTATGTGTAGGTTATAATTAGTTACACAATGTCATAACCAGACATGTTCATTCTCTGTCATATGTGTAGGTTATAATTAGTTACACAATGTCATAACCAGACATGTTCATTCTCTGTCATATGTGTAGGCTATAATTAGTTACACAATGTCATAACCAGACATGTTCATTCTCTGTCATATGTGTAGGTTATAATTAGTTACACAATGTCATAACCAGACATGTTCATTCTCTGTCATATGTGTAGGTTATAATTAGTTACACAATGTCATAACCAGACATGTTCATCAACTGTCGTATGTGTAGGTTATAATTAGTTACACAATGTCATAACCAGACATGTTCATCAACTGTCGTATGTGTAGGTTATAATTAGTTACACAATGTCATAACCAGACATGTTCATTCTCTGTCATATGTGTAGGTTATAACTAGTTACACAATGTCATAACCAGACATGTTCATTCTCTGTCATATGTGTAGGTTATAAATAGTTACACAATAACTGATAACAAATAGAGGGTGCCACAAAAAAAATATTGACGTAATCAGAGAATAAACCATTACTCTTTTTGAAATTTTAAATGAAGAATTATTGAATGATTAAAATAAGATACTAAGATATTTCTGATAATCTTAAGTGTTAAAATCTTTTACATAATTGATTATCAAACCCATAAATGAAAATTACATATTAATAGATTCCATTTATTTCACGGTATGCTTCATCAGCTAATATTTGTTTCTATCTATCTGATTTTCTTGTTTGATGTTTAAGCATTGTATTGCCCTGTATATCAAGTCAATACTATTCAAGATATAGCATACATCACAAATTATTTATGGACCAATGAGGAACCACAGAAATAGGGTGACTGAATAGCCTACCTTCTGATGTTGGTGGGTTAGAAATGTTTTTTGAGTATTTACCTGAAGAAGATCAACATAATTCATCTCCAGTTTGCGCAGACTCTTGGACACAGCTTCATCAATCTGTTGGGGACTATAAGCAGGTGTTGAAGGTCCCTCTCTGAAGCCAAACTTTGTAGCAACTACTGCCTGGTCCCTTTTCCCAGCCAAAGCCTTTCCCAAAACCTCCTCTGATCCAGCATAGCCCTGCCAAACAATTTAGATTTCTATATCATTATCATTTCTAATATCATTACCTGTGTAACAAAGTCTAGAATCAGAAATTACAATTGAAATACCTCAGATGTCTTATTTATTTCAAATTTTGACCCTTAATGAGCGAAATTTCTTTGTTAAAGGGAGGTTTACTGTGCTGTCATGTGAAACAAAATTGTGTGATTTTAGTAAATATATTAAAGGTTACCAACAAATAACATTTATGTGAAAAATCATTACATAATGATTAAAGAAACTGATCAGTATATTGCATGTACAGGTAGCACTATTTTTACCAGTAAACACCAGAGGAAGTTAAAATATCTAGAGTTATTTCCATTTTGAAAACCAAAGATTATTTAGTCGTTCCTTTGTGACGTCAATTGTCACTTTTGTGCCAATAGACACATTTTCATTTGTAGTGTTTATGAAAGCTGTGTACAATAAATTGACTATGCCTGCAACAGAAAGGTAAAGGTAACTGTAATAGTTTGAGCTAAAATATGTACAGTAATGTGTGCAAGTACTTTTGGGTGGATGAAAACAGGAAAAATGTTTCTGCTTGTATTCAATCAATTTTGATCCTTAAGAGCCAAGAACTTTATCTAAGAATATACAGCTAAGGTAAGCTATGTGTATGGTGTACAGAGATTGTCCCAGTGTCTGTATAAGGTGTAGAGAGACTGTCCCAGTTTCTGTGTAAGGTGTACAGAAACTGCCCCAGTGTATGTGTAAGGTATACAAAGACTGTCCCAATGTCTGTGTAAGGTGTACTGAGACTGTGCCAGTGTATGTGTAAGGTATACAGAGACTGCCCCAGTGTGTGTGTAAGGTGTGCAGAGACTGTCCCAGTGTGTGTGTGTGTAAGGTGTACAGAGACTGCCCCAGTGTGTGTGTAAGGTGTGCAGAGACTGCCCCAGTGTGTGTAAGGTGTACATAGATTGTCCCAGTGTGTGTGTAAGGTGTACAGAGACTGCCTCAGTGTGTGTATAAGGTGTACAGAGACTGCCCCAGTGTGTGTGCAAGGTGTACAGAGACTGCCCCAGTGTGTGTGTAAGGTGTACAGAGATTGTCCCAGTGTCTGTGTAAGGTGTAGAGAGACTGTCCCAGTTTCTGTGTAAGGTGTACAGAAACTGCCCCAGTGTATGTGTAAGGTATACAAAGACTGTCCCAGTGTCTGTGTAAGGTGTACTGAGACTGTGCCAGTGTATGTGTAAGGTATACAGAGACTGCCCCAGTGTGTGTGTAAGGTGTGCAGAGACTGTCCCAGTGTGTGTGTGTGTAAGGTGTACAGAGACTGCCCCAGTGTGTATAAGGTGTACATAGATTGTCCCAGTGTGTGTGTAAGGTGTACAGAGACTGCCCCAGTGTGTGTTTAAGGTGTACAGAGACTGCCCCAGTGTGTGTGCAAGGTGTACAGAGACTGCCCCAGTGTGTGTGTAAGGTATACAGAGATTGTCCCAGTGTCTGTGTAAGGTGTACAGAGATTGTCCCAGTGTCTGTGTAAGGTGTACAGAGATTGTCCTAGTGTCTGTAAGGTGTACAGAGACTGCCCCAGTGTGTGTGTAAGGTGTACAGAGATTGTCCCAGTGTATGTGTAAGGTGTACAGAGACTGCCCCAGTGTCTGTAAGGTGTACAGAGATTGTCCCAGTGTCTAGGTAAGGTGTACAGAGACTGTCCCAGTGTGTGTGTAAGGTGTACAGAGATTGTCCCAGTGTCTAGGTAAGGGGTACAGAGATTGTCCCGGTGTGTGTGTAAGGTGTACGGAGACTGCCCCAGTGTGTGTGTAAGGTGTACAGAGATTGTCCCAGTGTCTAGGTAAGGTGTACAGAGACTGCCTCAGTGTGTGTGTAAGATGTACAGAGACTGCCCCAGTGTGTGTGTAAGGTGTACAGAGATTGTCCCAGTGTCTGTGTAAGGTGTACAGAGACTGCCCCAGTGTCTGTGTAAGGTGTACAGAGATTGTCCCAGTGTCTAGGTAAGGGGTACAGAGACTGCCTCAGTGTGTGTGTAAGGTGTACAGAGATTGTCCCAGTGTCTAGGTAAGGTGTACAGAGACTACCTCAGTGTGTATGTAAGGTGTACAGAGATTGTCCCAGTGTCTAGGTAAGGGGTACAGAGATTGTCCCAGTGTGTGTGTAAGGTGTACAGAGATTGTCCCAGTGTCTAGGTAAGGTGTACAGAGACTGCCTCAGTGTGTGTGTGTAAGGTGTACAAAGATTGTCCCAGTGTCTAGGTAAGGTGTACAGAGACTGCCTCAGTGTGTGTGTAAGGTGTACAGAGATTGTCCCAGTGTCTAGGTAAGGTGTACAGAGATTGTCCCAGTGTCTAGGTAAGGGGTACAGAGATTGTCCCAATGTGTGTGTAAGGTGTACAGAGACTGCCCCAGTGTGTGTGTAAAGTGTACAGAGATTGTCCCAGTGTCTGTGTAAAGTGTACAGAAACTGCCCCAGTGTCTGTGTAAGGTGTACAGAGATTGTCCCAGTGTCTAGGTAAGGTGTACAGAGACTGTCTCAGTGTGTGTGTAAGGTGAACAGAGATTGTCCCAGTGTCTAGGTTAGGGGTACAGAGACTGCCTCAGTGTGTTTGTAAGGTGTACAGAGATTGTCCCAGTGTCTAGGTAAGGTGTACAGAGACTGCCTCAGTGTGTGTGTAAGGTGTACAGAGATTGTCCCAGTGTCTAGGTAAGGTGTATAGAGACTGCCTCAGTGTGTGTGTAAGATGTACAGAGATTGTCCCAGTGTCTAGGTTAGGGGTACAGAGACTGCCTCAGTGTGTTTGTAAGGTGTACAGAGATTGTCCCAGTGTCTATGTAAGGAGAGCTTGGCATGACCCTGTTTAGTGATACTAGTCACCAGAACTGCCAATTATTAATGAATTATGAGATTCAGGCCCCAAATAAAGGACAAAATAGACAGTGGAAAATGAGCTAGGATGTTCCATTTATCTAAAATGTGTTCATTTATTTGTTTAAAAAAAAATACTAACTCTTGGTAAATAATTATCAAATCTACAACATAGACAAGAAATAAACCAAACGAAAAACATTGTGTAAGTGAGATTTTTAGGGGTAGAACAAAATTTCAAAAATTATCGCTCCGATAATGTATTTTCACTTTATAAATTTTGATTACCCAGCCACTTATAGTGTGTTATACAAGAACACTTAAAAAGGAAATTATTGCCAGTTCAAAGACAAGACTGTGTGTTACATACAGCAATATGTAAATCTTATCACTGATAAGCTTCGTGTAATAATAATAACGAGAGAAAATGGCACAAATACAATATGTTGTCTAATTTGTTTGGGGAAAATAATTAAGATCGCCAACAAAAAATCAACGTACCTCTGCTGTATCAAAGAAATTCACTCCAATCTCCAAGCATTTGTCTACAATGGCACAGGATTGCTGTAAGAAAAAGTTTATATTTTAAAAAAAAAATCAACTTAAGATTTGAACAATGAGTATAAAGTATGATAATGGTGATTTCCAGATGTCAGTGGTTGGGGAAATAATTATCATAGAATTGGGGTTTATCATTTGGCATTGGCACATCCAATCAATTCTAACCTATTTCCACAACAAATGGTTAAACTCTTAACCATGACAGTTATGACATGGATGATAAGTAAATGTCATTTTTCATTGCATCAAAATTTGGTTTTTAGCCTTTTTGTTGGCCAGGGAAAATTGTGTAAAGGTTTCAACCAAATTGAATTGTGACCTTGAAAATGAGTCAAGGTCATCCTAAGAACATGTAAGCCAAATACCATACTTTTGTGTCTTTATGTTAGTCAAGAAAAGTCATGTAAAGGTGTAAACAAAATTGACCCCTATGACCTGGAACATGGGTCAAAGTCATATTTTTTTGCAAACCTTTTCAGGTGTCATTTGTGAAATTTATCAGCCAAATACCATGCTTCTGTACCTTTTGGTAAGTCAAAGGAAGTTGTTTAAATGTTTTAACACATTCAACCCCTCAAGGTCATTTCTGTTACAAAAGTTTCCAGGCTTTCTCCTTGGAACCTGTAAGTCAAATACCATGTATTTACTTTTTGGTTAGTCAGATAAAGTTGTGTAAAGGTTTAAACAAATATGATCCTGTGATCTTGAATATGGGTCAATGTCATTTCTTTTCGCAACTTTGTCCAGCTTCTTCCTAATTATCTATCAGCCAAATAACATGCTTCTGCCCCTTATGGTTAGTCAGAAGAAGTCGTCTAAGGTTTTAACAAATTTGACCCCTGTACCTTGCATATGGGTCAAGGTAATTTTTTTCTATAATTTTGTCATGATTCATCCCAGCAACCCACCAACAAAATATCATGACCTTTGGCCTGTTGGTTATTGAGAAGAAGTAGTTTAAATGGACAAGTTGATGCTGGACAGATGATGGTACAAGGTGGGCTAATAATGGATAAGTTGATGCCGGACAGATGATGGTACAAGGTGGGCTAAAAATAGATACCTTGATGCTGGACAGATGATGGTACAAGGTGGGCTAATAATGGATAAGTTGATGCCGGACAGATGATGGTACAAGGTGGGCTAAAAATAGATACCTTGATGCTGGACAGATGATAGTACAAGGTGGGCTAATAATGGATAAGTTGATGCTGGACAGATGATGGTACAAGGTGGGCTAATAATGGAAAAGTATGAAAGGCGGACCAGAAGTAGAACTTGATTTAACATGATAAATTCAAACATGAAATCTAAGATTGTTGTATATTATCTTACTGTGTTTTCTATATGACTATGACATTTTGTAGAATTTTTTTGTGAACTACGTTTTTGACAATGTAATCGACAACATTATTTAGTAAATAGCATCAACAGTTCTCTTGAATATATACATATACATATCTTTGGAAGATTTCAACTAATTCTACATTAATTATCACAACAAAACTTAGAATGCAAATTCTGAAAAAGAATCTAGACACGATTAACATTACAGAAGAAAAAGGGGAATAACTTTTCCAAATACCACTATCCCGGAAAACACCAATTTATGTCATGGGAGAAAAGAGGAGATATCTATAACAATAACAGTTTACAATGGATAGATGGAAAGACAATGCCATACCATAATACATCCTGTCAAAATATTTGACAGGTGAAGAAAACCAACACATGATGGATGTTGCTCTATTGCTTAATCTTAGAAGCCTTCGGGCCTGAGTCAGGTGAGCATATATAAGAACTAGCATTCCTTCAGCACATGACTTCATGTACATGTAGGTCAATGTTGAAGGTCACAACCATATTTGTATTTCATAACCTTATCTACTGTTTAATCTACTGACAACAAAGCTGATAAACCCGAGATAAAAACCGATACCTGGTTACAAACGTTTTGGGATGTCAAAGTGAACAGGATGAGACCCTGACCTGACAACATTGTACCTAAACAATTCACATAAATTCAACTTGATGCATAAATTAGATCCAAATTATAAGTTGGGCAGCTTCAAAAGTGGGCTGTTCTTAACTAAACAATATACATTCAGCTGATACGGCCGACACGTTCAATCTTATCCAGTGACTACATGTCTATGTGTTATGGTATCAGCTAGGCTAGGTTAATGTCATCCCTTTAAGTATCAGATTCACACAGTAAAGAGCACGATCTGCATTTACCACAAAATTTGATGACAATACAAGTGTCAAATTATACTGTATTTGGGTATATTTTTAAGCTGTACAATTTCTTCGAAAATCCTCAAAATCCATCATCTGCAATTTTTGCATATTTCATTTTCTGCCATTTTATTGTCTCAGAAATTTGAAAGGTCTCTTTTGAAGACCTTGAATACTTCAGATTCAAGCTACCTTACATATATACCAGTATAAATTCCAACACCAACTTAAGATCTAAATGACCAGTCAAACTAGTTTAGAGTATTACATACGATCTAGTATTTATTTGTGACAGAAATATTGACAACTGAAATTGTTCAGGTGCATGTAGGTACATCTGCTCTACAGATGTACTTACTCATGTGTTTACGATATGAAAAAAATGCTTATTTTGCAATTTTAATTTTTTGCATTTTGAAAGGATAGCTAAAATGAATTTTTTTTTAAATTCAAATATGTGCAAAAAAATCCTGATGAAGTAAAATGAACATACTTATGGTAAATTTATGGCTACAACATAGCATTGTTTATTACCCTGCAAGTGCTCTATCATTTTTATGTAAATTTCAAAATGTATAACTACAGTTGTTGGGTCGTACAATGTTGGACGATTTGCAATGGTGCATGATATCTGCACGATAGGAAAATTGGATGAAATAAATAAGCTATCACATATTTGTGCATACGTTGTGCAGTTCTTATAAATGAGTGTAGGATAGGATTCATTTATTTTCTAAATATGTAAGAATTTAACTAGCATATTTCCTAATTAATCCATTAATATATAGGTCGGACACTTGTTGATATATCAGATACACACTGAATAGTTAGATACACTCGTGTTTTGATTACAAAGAGCCACACTTGACCAGCCTTAGTGTACGGACACACATCAAATGGGCGTCTTTATGTCACAGCAATGAATTATTTAAAACCTCAGAAAGGAAATTTGATTTTCATTACTTCTGTATTATTATAATTTTTCATTCATTTTGCAAACAAAAAGTATATGCTCAGGTAAATCTTAAGTGTTGTGTTTGTCACACGGGCGACCCAGTCGGTACGGATCTGGACCGGTTACATATAACACCCATTTACAAGTTAACTTGACTTGTCCACAGCAGCACCACTACTCGTCACTTTCTGAGGTGTGAAACTATATACCATAAGAACAATTAATGCAGGTCTAGTGTTATTTCATTAACCATCAAATCAAATACAACTGTGTGATCCTATTGTACCGTTTTGTGCACATACTGTGTTGTGCATGTGTGCGCATGACGTATGCACGATCCGTGCATGAGGTTTTTGGTGTGTCTTGGATTACCACACCTGTAATTTTACAAGGTGATTTAATGTCTCTAAGGAAGCAGCTTCTAGGTCAGCTCAGGTAAATATCAATGCTAATTAGTGACTCTATAATGTAGTAGTACTCAGGCATTTGTGATGTCACAGTGACACCAGCACTCTGACAAAATAGCAGGTATCATACATATTCACCATCTGCGCACCAATTTTTTGGTGAATTGTGTGTTACTGCAACTGTAATGGCGATTTAATGTCTATAATAAGGCTGCTTCTAGGTCTGCTCTGGTAAATATTAATGCCAGCCGGTGACCATATCAAGCCCTAATGCACATTACACGCCTAAGTGGCACTCCGACAAAATAGCGTGTGTCATACATATGTATACAACTATTGATAGCTGTATCCAGGTAAGTTCCAAACACAGGTAAAGTTATTATAAATAAAGTGAATTGCTGAAATACATGCCTCAGGTGGTCTATGGTGTTTAGAATTGGGAGTAACTGAACCCTTTTTATCAAATACTGGTTATAAAAGAGTACATACTTAATTAATTGTTGTTAAAAATGGTTTTGTTGTCTCCATCTCGTAAGAGAAAGGCTATTACTCCTGAAACCCAGCATCTTATCATAAACAAAGTTGACTGGGATTCTACCAAAAAAGGAAATTGAAGCTCAGTCTGAAATCCTGGCACCAACTCTTAGTGTGTGCAATTCTGAAAACAAAACTTGGCCCTACATTCATTGCTGAGAATGAAACAGCATCAGAGTGCTATGTATGAAACTGTTGAAAACAATAAAAATATTCTACTATCTTGGCCTATTTCATTGGCAAAATTTGATGAATTAACAAAACAAAATGGAGACAATGACTTTAAATCTAACAAAGCTGGTTGGTACATTTTTGAACGAGACATATATAACATTGTGTGTCATTTTGTAAGTGGGGAACGTGCTGTTGTTAGTCCAGAATCTGGAGATAAATGATTTAACAACAAGCTTCCAAAACTCATTGAACTTTATCCATCCAAAGATATATATGATGCAAATGAAACCAGACGTCTTCAATGTCTACTGCCAATTAATATAACACTACAACTAAAAGGTGAAAACTGTCGTAGCAGCAAAAAGTCCAAAGAAAGACCGACTGTGCTATTCTGAATAGCCTATTCATGAATCCAACAAACTAAAATCTCTCATAATTAGAAAATTTCTAAATCCACAATGTTTCAAGGGTGTAAAAATTTTACCTGTTGTCTACATGGCAAACACAAAAGCATGGATTACAACTGACATTTTCATTGAGTAAATTAAACTACTCAAATGTTTGTACAAAACTGACATGATTGTGGTTAACTGTGCTGCCCATCCAAATGTCGAGAACTTAAAAGCCATTAAACTAACCTTCTTCCCACCAAATACAACAGGTAAATGCCAACCAATGGATCAAGGCATTATTTACAACACCATGGTGAAATACTGCCAGGCACTTGTATCATATTTTTTTAAGGTAAATCAACAAGTTAATTCAAATAAATATTCATGAAATATTAGTAAAAAAGTATAACATTTATATGTGTAGATAATCGCACCACGTGACTTTGTCAAAGAGTACACATGGCCACGATAGATGGCAGTAATGTGAACATTTAGATTTGTTATTATGAAAGGGACAGAATGGGATTTAGTAAAGCACAACACTAATTGGTAGACATAAGGATTTAATGAACATCAGAAAGCTATTTTTACTTTTGTATTTCGGTGTCACAACAAAAACCAAGATCCATGAATTCATACAACAATGCAATCCTCAAGCTTTACAGAGCTTGGAAAGATGTTTCCCCAACATGCACTGCAAATTGTTTTTTTAAGAAAGCTGACTTTAAAAAAAAATCTGACATTTGAATAGGAGGATGAGATTCCCCTTGATAGACTGAGCTGCTGGACAACAACCTTCCCCGCCAGGACCTGATCACAACGCTGAATGAGACAAGCAGTGAATCAGGACAAAGCACTAATGTGACAATGACAGAATTTATTAATATTAATACTGATGTTGTCAGTTCTGCAGAAATATCTGATTTCAACAGGATTGATTCTATTTGCAATATTTCTATAGGATGAAAAGGAAACTGTTGAAGAGGATGAATACATGGGCAATGACAGCGACATGATAAATGCATGTCACATATATGTGAATGAACAAATAAAATTTTGTCATCAGTCACATTGTTATTTCTTTACTTTCTGACAATGAATTTTAGCTAAAGCCAGAAAGACCAAATTGGCTTTCCACTTTGGTCTATTTAATTTCAAGGCACACTGTGTATGTGAGTGTGTCATATTTTTTTTTTTTTTTGCGAAATGAATCAGAAATGACATTTTCTTGATGACATGTTTGGTTTATTCTTTAAAAATAATTGAATTTTCGTTGCAGCTGAGAATGAAAATAGTAAAGACAGCATTGGTTAAAACAGGCAATATACGGAATATTAAAAAGGGGGAGGGGTCAAAAGCAAAACGTAAGTACATATACCTCGATGGGTTGTGCATCCCAGTTGATGGTGTCTTTGTTGCTGTTAAATTGCCAGCATCCAAGACAAACTCTGGATACTTCAAGATCAGTACCGGGGAGTTTCACACGAGGCACAGCCATGCTTGTTTTCTACCAGGTCAGGACAATTTGGGCCAAGAGGCAAGTCGCCGGCGATCGATAACACTTTACGGTATCATAAAGTAGAATGGTGATGTTGCAAAATAAACAAAACATTAAAATGTATCTAAGCGTAATAATGAAATAATTGTATGACCTTTATGTGAAAATTATACCAATAAGTGAAAAATTAAATGTAAATAATTGATAGATAGTTGTTTAATAATGTCGAATGTCGCAAATGGATTGCAGTCCTGTTTTTAGCCAAGATGGCTGCGCTCAAGTATGGAATAGAATTAAAATCTTAACAACATATTAAATAACCATAAAATGTATTTATCACACTGTTTATAAATATGGGGCCATTGCTTCTCCTATCGATCACATGGTTGTTTTAATTAAGATGTATGTTTCAATTACCATTCATCGAAATTTCACTTAGCATCGAAACTTGCTCTTTCACCTCGATAATACAATAGCCTACAAGGCATTGAGATTGCACAACTGTGACAACATCGCCGGAGAGGGTCTTACAGCACATCGGGGTAGGTCCAACAAAGCTGAACATTTTCGTTAGAGTCGACACGATATATGAGGTAAGTGTAATCGGCAGGAATAATGATATCTCTAATTTAACCACAAAAGTCCTGATATGTAATGGGCAAAGCCTGTGGAATCACAGCAGATGGGTCGATTTATTACTTGTTGTCACTTGGTAATAGTTTTAAAATAGACCACTAGAACAGATGTTATAGTTTTTAGGCACCATCTGAACTGGTATATATGACCTGGTTAGTGGTGACCATATGTGTTAACTTCAGACTATCCAAGTAACATGCAATATTGTGAAAATGATTTACTGATTGGTTTCAAGAAGAGTGTTTTGGATTTTTATTTACAGTAGAAATGGCTTCCACACCTCCTGGTACTCCTAAGAAAATTCAGAAGAGACCGTCAAAGCAGTATTCCACCTGTTTACTCTATAACACTGGACAGGCCCTAGCCAAACTTACAGACCTAAGACTGGCTGCCTGCAATCCTACACGAGAGGGCCCAAGCATTCAGACTACAAATGAAGAGGACAACCATCAACAAGGTACAACAGATGACCAGTATTCAAAATTAAGCCCTATTGATTGAAAGGAATAGTGGCATTTAAATCAGGGTTCAGATTAATATACTTTTATATGTAAACACCTCCTTGCTATCAATTGTTTGTATGAATTGGGTAGGGTAGGGGTGGGGTTCTGTCGTGTGTCTGTTTGTTAAAAAATTGCCTCAACACTACATCTTCTAAGCTGGTGAAACAATGCCAATGAAACTACAAAGAAAATAATGAGAATCATGTGTAGATGTGTAGGGAGTTTTTTCTTGCAATTAAAGTGTTGCCTTGGTAACCAGTTCACTTGACACATGTTTTTTTAATAAACGCTGGATCATCAATCCTGTGATCAGTTTTAATGACACTTGGTTAGGTATTGTAACTTATCAATATAAACATATAGGAAATCATCAAATGATTTATTAAAGGTTTTCATGTAGATGAGTTCTTGTTTAAGGATTACAGGGTCAAGATCAAGTTCATTGTGTTATTTATAGAAAAACATTAACCAATTAGTGCCTTGATACTGTCATCTTAAGCTTTCATTTTTGCAGAGAGATTTGTGTCTTACAGAAGGAATTATATAGTTTTTCATGTTTCATGGTAGGAGGGAGTTTTAAATATAGCATTCATTTGAAATTGGGTCCCAGGTGCAAACATCACTGACACAGAAAGACAAAACAGCCTCTTCATGTAGTTTAGCACAATATTTTGCTAACTGTTGTATCTAATTCCAAATGTATTGAATGATGATATACAAATGTGTGTCTGTACAATCTTTGTGATTGTAAGTGTTAGACACTATTGGTGAACTTAAGAAGCATACGTTTTCTGTAATGTGGTAAATTAAATGATAATTTTGTTACTTACAGAAACTGGGGTTCAACAGAGGGCTGACTATACTTCTATATCTGAGAAAATGTCATGTAATTTCTGTTCAACTGACTTCATTTCTAGAGAGGAGCAGGTAAAACACATGAAGCATAAAATATCTATAAATGATGAAAAAAAGTGCAGGGATTGTATTGCAAAGACAGAGAAACAAAGTGTTTTCCTCTTGCTTGCTTATATCTCAGCTTCATATGGACTTATAATAAACTGAAGAAGGCTTAGTTCCCATAGAGGCAATAGATGTTGCCCTGTAAGCTAAATTTCAAACACCCTGCATCTGTGCTGTGCATTCCTTCAGTTTACATGCCTGTAAACAATTCACTATATCCTAAAAAGAACTCGATAGATCTTTGTCAAATTTCATCTGTAGGATCCCATTGGTTCCTAGTTGACCCTGTTTAAAATCTAATTCCTCTTGTAGGTATGTTTAGGTTTTGCCATAATGTGGTCTGAAGCGTCTTTGGTTGAAGGGGGATCTGTTTTGTATAAACTTTGGGTTTTATCCTCTTGGGTCAGAAGAGAAGAAACCCAGTGTATTGAATACAACAATCATTTAGAAGTCAGCCCATAGCAACTGGTTTAATTTTGAACCTAAAAATATGATTGTTTAAGTTCATTCATCTTATATCAGATTTAAATATATAAGAAATATTTTGGACTGCTTTAAGGATTATCTCCCTTCAACATCAATGCCTTAAAATAATAAAACTTCTCTTTTTTCAATACTTTACTGTTGTAATGACAATATCGGTTTTCTTGAAGGCCTTTTTGACCCAACTTAATTTTCTTCCAATTTTGAATAAGATGATCATGCATGAAGAGGTTCTTTGCTTTAATCAAATTGCTTTGCGTGGAAAAATACTGTATAAACTAACTTACCAGTGTATGTTTTAGTAAAAAGTATTTAAGCCATTGGTTTATGTAAAAAATGATGTGCACTGAAATGAATTATTAACTTTCAGACAAAGCACTACAAATCTGACTGGCATCGCTACAACTTGCGCCTTAAGTTGAGGGACAAAGAATCTGTAACAGAGGCAAAGTTTATAGAAATATCAGGTAATTCAGTTAGCAACTTCGCAAGTTTTAATCCTCAGATACAAACAAAATATTTTGAGGAGTTTGAGTGTTTTCAATGGTCTGAATTTTCCAAATTCTAATAGAAAGGTTTTGTTATGCAGTGACACGGCATCTGTTGTCCAGTGTCAACATTTTCCTTTAAACAACTTCTCAATAACCAATAGACCAAATGTTTTGATATTTGGCTTATATGTCCCTAGGATGACGCTTGACAAAGTTTGGGAAAAGAAATGACCTTGATTTATATTTAAGGTCACAGGGGTCAAATTTGTTAAGACATTTAAATGATTTCTTCTCCTGAACTAAAAGGCCTAGAGGCATGATACTTGGCTGGTATGTTTCTAGGATAAAGCTTGACAAAGTTTGGGAAAAGAAATAGACTTGACCAATTTTCAAGGTCACAGGGGTCAAATTTGATAAAACACTAGTAGTAGTAATGACAGTGACACAGAACTACCGAGTGTAAAAGTCCTAGATGTATGATATTTGGTTGGTATATGTATACCAATTGAGCGCTGCAGGCCCATTGGGCCTCTTGTTTTAGAAAACATTGGCAAACCCAATTGAAGTCAGTTGCTAGACAATACATGGTACACACTTTTTCATGCACAATACACACCTGTTGATAGGCAATATGCCTATTACACAACAGTTTATTATGGCCCTCTGTAGTTTTAGTACCATGAACCTTAATATGTAAACAGGTTGGGTATGTAGTGTTACAAAAACATATACCTTTAAATGGCAATGTATAATTTTTTCAGTGTTTATATAATTTTCTTAAGGATTCTTAATAAATACAAACTGTAGCTAAACTTGAACTAGCCTTGCACATTTTTTAAACTTTGACACTTGTGAAAATGCAAATTTGCATTGTACTAAACACTGGTTCTTGTAAACATGTAACAGATTTTAATGAAAGATTGTTATGTAGTCTTGTATCATTAAGATCTTGGATGAGTTCAACAATGGGACTGATTCAAACGGCAAAACAAACGAAGAATTTGCTTACATACCAAAAATCTTCTTCTCCAGACTTAAATGCTGTAGATTCACCTTTCCATGGACAGAAATGTCCTGAGATGCTTTGTCAAAATTGTAAATTTTGCCAAACCAGAGTGCCTCTAGAGAGGGTTTAAATTTGATACTTTTGGGTAGATTTTATTTTTTCATATAAAAACAAAGTAGTTGCAAAAAAAGCACGACTTTCTAAAGATGCAGGTGACTCTTATTTCCCATAGGCTCCTTATACAGTATCAGAAGCTTTTAGTTTTGAGCATTATTTAATTTTGCAGTGGAATTTTTCAAACTTGGTTTGAGTTATTAACATGGGATGGCAGTTAATATTTGCACATTTTATATTTGTATTACATGAATTTGTAACATAATTAGTTCAAGTTATCTTGAGTTCTATGTTATATTAACAACAACAAACATCTTGTAGAACTGACAGGTAACCAAACAACACCTCCTTCTTTAAAGAACTCAGAAATATTTCAGATACAGCAACAAAATAATAATGAAGTTTTTTTGCATGTTCAAGGAATCGTATTTAAGTAATTTCGTTGTTTGGTTTCTAGCTTGTGTATCCAGCATTTCTGGCTCAGAATCGGAGACTGATGATTCTGCGGATGAGGACGGAGAAAATTCTAAAGTGCGTTTAAAGCCAAGGAGGATAGCAGCCTTCCTCAGACATGAAGGAGACTGTAGTAGTAGTAATGACAGCGAGACAGAACTACCGAGTGTAATCGATGATGCCTCAAGGAAATTTCCCAAATTATTCTTCCGCAATAAAGATGGCGAGCTGATATCAATATATAGATGTCTACTTTACCATAAAAAGGTATATCTCAGGTTAGACATAAACTCATGACAATATTTAAGTTATATTTATTGGTAGCCCTTATGTACTGAAACAAGGACTTGATATGTACCAAAGGGTACAAAAGACACAGAATCTTCCTTCAGGAAATTTGAATAATATGGTATTTCTGAAGTTTTTTAAAATCTTCTGCATTAATATCAAAATAAACACAATGTACATGTAAAGATAGGATAAATTCGTATCAGAACAGGACATTATGCTGGTCAGGTCATTATGCTGGTCAATATCAGTTTGGGGAGTTAAGGAATACCTACCATATAGACTAAACTTGATCAGAAGGATGACAGAATCTAAGTCAAGCTGTAGATGTGATTTATTATTAACATGATTTATTTTACAGAATCAGCCAACATCATTAAATGACTTAGCTACCATGGCAACCAATGCTCCTCACCACATGACCTGGGCTATATTCATGGCTGCTGGAGGCCATTTTGCTGCAGCCATATTTGATAAGTAAGTCAGTTTTTTTTATACCTTACTTACTTGCTTTTTAGACAGAGTTTAGACAACAATAATTATTACTGACATCATGTGACTGGCTATTTAATATAATCGACCACTGTCAGTGTCATATTATGAGAACCTTTCCAAAGATTTGTTTAAAAAAGATTAAAGAGGTAAACTCTCCTGAGAAGTAGAAAATACTACTGTAGATGTAGAAAAATAACTGCTTTTTCTGTTCAGAATATGCATCAGAATATGTTTAACAGGAAATAATTCATTTCCATATATTATTCTAATTTTTTTTACTGAATAACAGATTATCTCTGTTATTTTTGCAGCATACTTTTTTGATATAAATTTGAAAACATAGCTGACAGGTAGCCGTCTTGGATTATGTCAGTGCAAGTTTGTTATTGTTGCTACTTAAAGTGTTTTGGCTATACTTAAGTGAACTTAATTGTTAATTGTTGGGATGGAGATATTTTGATGAACCAAATTTATTTAATCAATTTGTGTCCCCTAATGCTAAGGGGTAGGCCAACTGAGCGGAGTTGTGACCCCTTGGGCCTTAGGGTAGGGCCAAATGAGGAAAATTTCATGCCCAGGGGCCAAGGGGCAGGGCCAAAGGAGGGAAATATGTGAACATATGTATCAGTTCCTTTGAAATCCTTTTTCTTGTTTAGGGATGGCATGTACAGGATTTTGTTCAAATTCAGTTTTACGTATCCTTGGGTGGAAGACATTTAGTTTTGTGTAAATGGTGGGTCTGACCTCCATGGGGATGAGGTGAAGAATTTAAAATGGATATTCTTTAAAACACTTTGAATTAAGTAGTTTCAGCCAAAGCAAACCAGGTAACTGAAACATTCTCTATCTTGTGCACAGGAGTGAAATTCTGGTACATAAAACCTTCCATCGATACGTAGTGAGGGCCAAGCGTGGAACTGCTCAGAGCAGTCGTGATAGTCAGGGAAATGCCCCAAAATCTGCTGGGGCAAGTATAAGACGGTACAACGAAGCAGCTCTCAAAGAGGTTAGTACACAATCTTCAGGGGTCAGTCTTCATTAGTTCATGTTCAGCCCAGTTCATCTCAGAATGAGTCTGTAACAAAGAACTGAGGTCTTAGGTTTTTCAAAATGGCATTGTTGAACTTAAAGAAAATTCTTATTGCTTCACAACTATTTTCATTTGTATTTTTTTCCTAAATCATGTTATCAGAATACAAAATGATGATTGGAAAAGTTCCCAGTGCATGAGACGGAATACATTACTAAACATCTCTTTTACAACAGGAAGTACATGAGCTTATCTCATCCTGGTCCAAAGAACTCAGCAAGTGTGACCTGATCTTCCTAAGAGCTCCTAGTTTTAACAAAAGGATTTTCTTCTCTGGAAAGACACCTCCGTTACAGAAGAAAGATGAACGTATCAGAATGATTCCGTTTGCTACTCGAAGACCAACCCACAATGAAGTCAGAAGAGTGCATGAAGTGTTGTGTTCAGTTGAATGTTATGGTAAGATATACCAGCCATTACTTCCCATTAATTGTTCGTTTACTCAGTTATCGTCATTTTTGAATCAATCTGTTTCCTAATTGAATGTTTGATCTTCCAGTGTGGAAGGGGTAGGGTCCAATATGGGGGATGGAGCCAAATTCTTTAAAATCATTTTTTTCTACTACATGAATATCAGGATTCAGTCCCAATTTGATCTGAAGTATCCTTGGGTAAAGGGAATCTGTTGTTTATTAATTGAGGATCTCCACCCTCTTGGGCAGGGCCCAAAAAGAGGAAACAGAGCATATATTTTAAAACTTGTCTTCTTTAGGAATGCCTGGATTTTTATCAATTTTTTTTATCTGAAGCTGCTTTGAGTAAAGGGTAATCAATATGGATTAAATGGTGGGGTTTGAACCTCAGGAGCGGGAGGTACAATGGCTTGGTGGATGAAATAGACACAAATCTTTAAGTGCTCTCATTTAGTTGAAATCAAGCAATTTCTGGCAAAATTAATCAGATAAATGAGCTGAGTTATACAGGCCTCTTATTTCAAACTAATGTTACAGCATTTAATAATATGGAAGTGATCTCAAATTTACAAAAAATTAATTAGCTGAATCCAATTTGTTTAATTGTAGAACAGCTGAGTGGGCCTCTTCTATAAGTACTCCGGTGATTATTTATCATTTTAATACCCATGGTCTTCTTGTACAAATCTAGCTGGTGGTAAAGTACCACTAAATGCAATATATCTTCATTTTCATGTTGTGTGGGTATTTTAGCTCATATGTCAGCTGTACAACATTAAATTGTTAATATCTAAGGTACTAAGATCAGGAACTAGATGACTAGCTGCAGTTTATTTCAAATGAATGGCCTTGATCAAATTTTGAAGTTACAAGGGTCAAATCAGTCAAAAGTGTAATGGTAGATTCTGTTAACAACATCTTTTATTGATTCTCGTCAGCTCACTTGAGCCCAAATGCTTATGTGAGGTCTTCCAAAGGGGATTGATCAATCCATAGTATGGAGACGATCAGTACAGTACTTATCAATGATTACCATTTGTAAGTGAAACTGAAATTCAAGATGATTGCCATTACCGTCATCTTTTGAATCAATTTTTAACTAATAACCCAAATACTAGTTTTAAGATATCGATGAAACTTTGTAGAAATGATCAATTGATGATTTTGTAAAAATGAGACTGATTTCATGTTCAGACGTAGTATGACATGGCCACCAGAGCAATGATTGTTAAATGTTAAGTCATGAAAAACAAAACTAAGTCCTGTTTGTGGATAAGATAACTTGAAAATGTGCAAATGAAAAGTACAGGGTACTATTAATTTTCTGCCATGTTTTAAGTTACAGTGAAATTTATGATGGTCACATTTACTGCTATTTTATAATCTGTTTTGGCCTGCTATTTGGTCAAGTACTGCTGGGAAGGTATCGATAAAATCCCCTTCTGTGATATCACTGCTGTGATAACCAGAAGTGAAGGCTTTTGGTTTTCATATCAAGTATATATTAAAGTTTCTTTAATAGCACTAATTGATAAAAATGGCTGTTTGAGTTGAATTATCTGCAGTATTTTATCAGTTATTGAGATTTTTCATTAAATTCTTTAAAATAAAATTTCAAATAAGCATAGAGCAACAGTAACCTGATCAGATGAGAGTTAAGGCCTATAATAGACCTCTTGTTTCTCTCAATGCACCATCATGCAAAGAAAGGGTATTGAGTTTGAGTTTGCAATAAAAATAAAAGTTATCAAGATGAACATGTATAGTAAAGTCTTCACATTGTAAGCTGTAGAGCAGGGTAAGCCATGCAGTCCCTTGAGGCCTCTTGTAATGTTATGAATTTGTAAAACTGACTTTTTCTTCCACTGAACTAATATCACCGATTGAATCACTATAATGAATAGGTGAAATATCCAAATGACTTTGTGATATCAATATATTAATGAATTGGTGAGATCACCTTATTATTTTTGTGATACATCTCAGATGGAATAGATAGTAATATAGCATTCCTAATTGGTGATATCACTTATCCATTGCGGCAAAGTCTCCAATTCATGGCATGATATCACCACATGGTTGTGTTTCTGTTTTCGACCTAAAGTAGTTTCAGTACTTTGTTTTTAATAGACTTATTTGGTAGAGCAGGTGCTCTTTCAACGTTTTCTTTTCTGCCTGAGGTTGAACATTTTGAATATAATGATATGGTTAAACTCTCCAATGGAAATTTAAGAAATGTTGATCTATATGTGTACATAAACCTATATAATCCTCTGTGTATTTCATAATATTTTCTAGGTGATGAATCTGAAATCCAAGATTTCATTCCCCTGTCTCCGGCTGTAACCTTCTGCCCAGACACAGGCCATCTGGAGGTTGTTCCTGATGATCCTCCAACATCTCCAAGACACAGAAAAATCAAGGACAAATCAAAGCTTAAAACTTCTCCCTTGGCGAATAATAGCAGTAAAACATCTGAGAGACTGGACTCTTTAGATGACAAATTTAAACCAATTCCCAGGTGCCAACAGCTTGAACTATTAGGTGAGAAGTCATTTAAGACATCTGAGAACAAAGTTAATGAAAAAATTGCCAATACTGAGCATTTTTCATTTTGGAGACATTGCGGATAGCTTGGCTACCGAATACCTATAGAGGTAATTAAAGGGTTTGTTGGGGCACCTCACTTACCATAAAAGGAGCTGAATTTTTAATCAATCCCTACATACAAGGATGATAAGTGAGATCAGATTACGTTTATCAACCAGTTGTACATTACCTCCTACCAGTGAATCAAGGGAGACTATGATTTTCCTCTCCATCTGTCCATCTATCCATCTCTCAGTCTGTCTTTCTGTATACCACGTAATACCAAAGTTTGTCAGTGCTTTAGAGGCTTTATTTATTGAAAGATTCTCAACGAACTTCAAACATTTATATAACATCAAATCATCTGGATGAGTTCGAGTGCCAGGGTTGAAGGGTCAAGGTCATTGTTATCATTTTATAAATGGGATCCCTAATGGGACTTTTATCAATTTTCAAACACTTATAAGTGACCATAATATTTTGAACAAGTTTGAGTTTCAAGTGTTTATGTCAAGGTCACACAGTTACTGTTACTTTTTTCAGGAAAATCATTTCCAGCACTCATATAACTTCATGCCTTAAGAGATTTTCATTAAACTTCACACATTTATAAGTCAAAATATCTCGGACAAGTTTGAATTGAGTCAGGGTCAAGGTCACCATTACTTATTTAGAAATTCATTGCCAGTGCTGTAGCGGCTTCATTCCTTGATCAGTGCTCTAATAATATATTTTGAGTTGTTGCAAAACATAATAACAAAACCTAAGATATTCAGTAATCCGTAAGCTATCAGGTCTGTAGAATATGGAAAGCAACTAAAGTAATACCGCCTGTACAGCTTATCGTAATTCTTTAATTCATGTAAGATGAAACTACTAGAAAACTATGCTATTTTTTAATTTCTGTATTTTCAGCTACCTGGTATTTGATTTGCATTAGTTCATAGTCTGTCTGCAAACAATTATTGTTATCAATATTTCTTGAGAAGTATTCCTTAAGAAGTACTTAATGGATCTTTTTAACATTTTACAAGTAGGTTTCCTTTTGGTCCCTTGTTGTAGCTTTAGATTTTAAGACTGATCAAAAACACAAAATGGCTGACAGGTGTTTGTTATCGCTATTTCTTGAGAAGTACAGGTTGGATCAGGGATGCCAACATGAATCCGAGGGTGTGCTCAAAAAGTACACATCTTCAATGATTAGGACTCAGAAAATATAACATTCCAGTATAATCTGTTATTTGTTAATTACATCTGATGTCAAATTTCTGCTGTTACATTAATATGCATTAAGGTTGAAAAGTATTTGTGTGTGTGGTACAATTGTTAACATACAGTTAGTGCTCACAATGTAATAACTGAAACATTAGTCAGGTTAGGAAATAATCTAGATTGAAGCTGTCTGATCAGCCAATCAAAAGACAGGGAACAACAGAAATTGAAAGAAATTGTGTCTCCTTCAGGTACTTTTAATTGCTTTAGGATTTAATACTTTATAGGTTGTCTATCTGTTTAATGTGTGTGCAGTGTCTACATACCCTGGACACTGGATTTCGGTGCATGCATAACATTTTGGTAACAGCACTGCAAGGATTTGCTCTGAGATGTGTGAACATCTGATTCCTGTGGTGATGAGGCATATTACATAACATTTGTTTCCACACTGAATACACTTGCTTTGTGCAATCATCTGGAAGACAGTGTTTTTATGGTTAGGGCTGTGGAAGAAATGAGCAGTTCAAGTCAGTGGGATAAATCATATTTGTCTATCATCATCTAAGAAAACAGAGACCAGGATCTGCCTCTAAATGGTTCAGATTGCAATAAAGTCTATCTGGTGTGCTTCTGATCAACTGTCAGAAGTCTTGGCAACCAACGGATTGAGACCTTTCTCATTGCATGATCTCAGTAAGAATGTAATGCACTCTTTAATGTGAAATTCCAGTTTTACTGGTTACATATCTCTCTGTAACTCGTCTGTCAGCGATAACAATATCATGGACTTTATTGACCATTTTTGAGATTGGAACAGTGACAGACCTTCCAGGACAGGCATCGTTCCAAAAGCTCTGTCTGCTAAACCTAAATTCTGCCACCCACCTTTTCCCTTTAGCATGTGAAGGAGCATCATTCCCTAGTGTTGCTACCATATCAGTATGGTACTAGACCTTTTTTATGCTAATACTGAATCGCTGCTCTTTCAGTGTTTTGTCCATTTTGCAAAAGTCTTTTGCCATTCTTTAGAGCGCTACCTCTTTGACATAAACTCACCAAATGACACCAGTCTTCGGGCACACAGCCTTAAATGATAAGGGAATAGTAGAGCTGAAGAAGGACATCCCTGCTTAACTTCTTCAATACAAGGCTCACAACTTATCGATCAGCTCTCGTATGTACACTCTAGCATACCATGATAAAGTGAGACAAGGAACGAGGACATTAACAGTACCTGGACTTGAAGCTGTGTATCATCACTCACCATATTATAACTTAATAAACCCATTATGATCTGTTATAAACATTTAATGTTGTCTTGCAGTCAGTATCCAGTAACACTGTCAGTGGCAATGTCTTAATCTGGAACTTTAAATTGATTCAGCAAATTGTACGTTTTGTACAGATTACACTGATTTGATAGATAATGTATTCAAATTGCAGAAAGTCATCTTCCATATAAAGTGTTTGGTTGTTTTTCATGTGGTAGATGATATCTTGCATTTAAAGTTCAAAATATTTATCATATCAGCATGCTTTCTGTAAATTCATTTCTTCATTAAAAAATTAGAATTAAATTGGAAGTAAATTAATGACATTTCACTGTCTTTGGATATATTGTTACTTAGCTAAGTGTTGAAATCTTTGTTAAACAGATGCAATTCATCAGGAGAACCAGTCTTCAGGAGCATCCACTTGCAGTGACACAGATATAGTGGAAACACTGGAGAGTTTGTCTACTGAACATCTGAAGGAATTCAGAGCTACTTGCAAACCTCGACCTCAAAAGCAACGTGCTCGCAAACGACGTCCATCTTTAAAATGTCAAATTGCTCCAGAATCCGATGCCTTGGGTGAGGTTTCATGCGGTTATAATTAGTGTTTTCTTTTTTTTTTATTGGTATAATCCAAAAGTAGTCACACTGACACTGCAAATATTACATGACATGCAAATTGTTTGTTCATGTACCTTGTTTCCTAGTGTTTAGTTACCATGTTGTGTGTTATATAGTCTACGGTCCCAAAATGAACCTGGAGTAATGCACCAAGGACCACAGACCAGCTATAGTGATGTAGTCGATCATTAAGATAATTATACCTGGGTATTGAACCTGCTGGTCGGGTGGGAGGGGTGGGGGGTGTCACTAGATACTAGACAATTGAATAGCATTACTCTGGAAGGTTCAAAACAGCAATAGATACAGGCAAGCTTATTGCAAAAAAAACAGGTAATTATTTAATGGTTTTTTTTGTCTTTTCTATTTTTGATGTAGAAGAAGAAAAATATCACTTGAAGAATTCTCTCTACACTGCCTGTAAAGTTGGGGACTTTGAAACGCTTCAAAATCTACTGGCTGTTTTCTCTTCCGACATGGCCCCGGTGGAAACTGTTCCTGGAGATATTATAGATTCAAGTGGAAAATCTACATCAGTCACCACCTCTGCCCTGGACAGCACTGTAAACTGTTCCCAAACTGAAAATCAATTACCAGTCAAAAGTGATAGTGATCATGAACAAAGTTTCTTTAGAAAATCTAATGATTTGATAGCTTATCCTGGTGCTTCCAAATTAGGAATGGAGGATGAAAGTGAAAAAGAAAACAAAATTTGTGATAGGACCTTGGAGAATTCAAATAAAAACCAGAAGGAAAAACAGGAGATGACTTTAGATATCTCAAATAAAATATGTCAAACACAGCAAGAACTTGGATCAAATTCTAATACTGAAGAAATCTTGTCTCCAATGGTTTCTGTAGCACTTTTAAATGAACCAATAGGAGATCAGCTTTCAACTCTACTCCATGTTGCTGCTAAGGAAGGACATAAAAAGGTGATAAAGGCTTTGTTGGAATCAGGGGCAGATCCTGCAGTCAAGTGAGTATTAAAGTTCAGTATAATGTTGCTTTCTGTCCTATAAACATCCAGGGCCATTTAAGGATGTGCCAGGTTTAGATGGTGGAGGAAATTCAAGTTTCCAGAGGAAAAGCCACCGTCCTGTGGCCGGTACCTGGAGACTGCTCCACAAAGGCCTCTAACCTGCAACCCAGAGTTGGAGGGCAAGTAATAAAGACAGCCAGACGCCTTAACCATTAGGCCACAGTGGCCCTGAGTTTTAAAATGGTGTTTCTGATACACAATGAAATGTTTTAGGTAGACTGAAGTGATGTGGTCATTCCACTGTACATTGGCAAACAGTTTTTAGTCCACCATCTCAGATGATTGGCTGTTTAAATCACTCTTTCTTTCTCCCTTGTCCATCTGTCTATCCGTAAAAGATTCTTAATGTTGCAATTTCTTGAGAATATGAGAATACCTAATGGATCACTCTCAAATTTCATATCATGTTATCCCATAGTGCTTAGTTTTTCCTTTTAATTTTTGAATTAAAGGGCCTTGTGAGCTTATGCCATGGCGCAGTATCCATCGTCCGTCCCTCTGTCCGTCAACTTTTTCCCTGAAAATCACAACTAGTAATAAATGACTTACATGATTTTGACCCAATTTGGTCAGAAGCATCTTTGGGAAAAGACAAACACATTTGTGATGTAAGAATTGACCATTTGGTGTGGCAAACCTCTCTCTAGGGACTTTGAATTCCTTGGTCATATTTTCGAAACAGTTGAGATCCTAGCTAACCTGATAACTTGGTACCAAACTAGAAAGATATAAGAATTTACACATTGGTTTTGCCCCACCAAAGAAGTTAAGTGACTGAGCTGTAATTTGAAAATATCTGAAATACCCAACCTATAGGTTGAAATACCATTGCTAGGCTTTAAGTTCCAATTGAGCAATACAGACCCTATGGGCCTCTTGTATAATTTGTATAAGTAATCCTCATATTGATACATACCTGTAATTAAACAAAGGTGATTGATTATGGAATCATTTTATTTTCAAATGATGCGAAACCTTACTAAAAAATGGAAACTGTAAAAGATGATCTACATCAAAATATCTGTAATAGTGGTGGAGTTAATACCTGTTATTGTCAAATTACTGTTATCAGATATATGATTCAGGGCTCTCACACCCCATTTTGGGACTGGGGCCCGGGGCCCTTAGAATTGGGAAAAATAATGGTGTTTTCCTTAGAATTGGGAAAACTTGGGATATAAATTTGGAAAAAAAGATACTATTTTGTATTGGGAATGGGGCGGAATATCGGCCCCGAATCTGGCAGACCGAGAGCCCTGTGATTGTGTCTTTTTTATACTGTGGGGTGCAGGGGTAATGTCACTTTTTGTGTTATCTTCATTCGATTGGAAGCACTTTAAATTTGTAAGAATAACTAGTATGATAATTTGATTGTATACACATATTGACCATAACTGGCCACCAGGAACTGATAGGCGGAGCCAGAAATGGTCAAATGATGTAATAGACGTATTCTACCTTTTAACAATTTTAAGAATGCATACATGTATTTTACATAATATGTTCCTTTTGTCAGAGATAAGTTTGGAAAGACTCCCTACTGCAGTACATCCAATAAAGAGGTTAGGAATGAGTTCAGGCGATTTATGGCCAGGTTTCCTGTTAAATATGACTATAAGGCTGCCCAGGTGAGTGTTGATGTAAACAAACAAACAAACAAATAAAAATTAAACAACCAGGTGGAAAATATTTCTGTATCAGTCCCACCCAAAATGAGATTAGTGAAGCTTTCCCTGAACTGGCTTCAAGAAAAATTCTGCATTGTAGTAATGTACATCTTTCATTGTAAAATTTTCCAGTTAAAGTAAAGCATTGCCAAACTTTTTTTTGGTGGGAGGGGGGAGGGGAGGGGAGGGGAGGGGAGGGGGATGGGATGGGATGGAATGCATTTGAGGAGGGGTAATATTTTCCTATTATCCTTACCTGAACTAGTTTAGAGGAGTGAAATTTCAGCCGTCAGTATAGTCAAAATAATGTATTCAGGGATGATATTCAGAGACGGACGTAATTATATAATTGAATATTGCCGACTCACAATCCTTCTTTTTGGATTTCTCACTAATTTGGCTTTAATTGAACAATTTGACTTTGTTCAAGTTTTTGTATAATGATATATAGTACATATATTTAGTTAAGTAGTACATGTATCTGTCATTTTAAATCAAGGACATCCTGAAAAAACTGGATCGTAAGAGAAGTGTTTTCCTTCTACATCACTGTTTTCATATTAGACACGATCAGTTGAAGTAACATTTATAAACAGGTATTGAGACATATTTGAGCAGTGACATCTGAGTGATGATGCATTTTTTATCAATCAGATTGTAGTATTTGCAGTGAAAATATCAGTTTTTCCCAGAGTTCATTGCATTACAACTTTTAACAGTATTAATCTTGGCCAGTCTGCATTTAATTGTTAGATTGTTATATATTTACCTTCTTTGTTTAATTTTGATTTAATGTTATAATTTATTTGAAGACTTTTCCTAGATGTCAAAATACTATACACTATCTGTCAGAGTACACAAATGGACAGCTAGAACCCCTGTTCAAAGTGGCATCATTGAAGTATAAAACATTACTGTTATTGATCAAGTAATGCAGAATATCTTCTTTTTCATTGATCCCAAAATAGGTTCCAAGTCCTCTGACAGGGGAGATGGAAACAGAGCGAAGACAGAAGGAAGCAGAGAGAAAGAAAATTCAGAAAAAGGCAAAACAGCAAAAGATGAAGGTAAGTATGGGGATGACCAGAAAAAGCTTAAAAACACTGTCACAGTTTTACTTAATGGTTAAATGGTTCCAATCCAATCAGTCTCCTTTTTAAGCTCACTTGGTCTTAAGAACAGATGAGGTGCCGTGGCACATAGTCAATGATCTGTCAGTTTTTTATTGAAGACCACTAGTCATACCTAAACATCTTCTCTAGGACCCTAAGGGCTAACCTGCAGAACATTATCTACATCTTCATCAAATTGTTACCAAGCTGCTTTGTTGGAACTTGCAGGCCACTTTACTCTCTCGTTCCTTCCCCACTGTCCTGTCAGATGTGTCAGATTTCCGGCCAGTTCCCTCTGCAAGTCTACTTCCTCCTCCATCTCACCAGATTGCTCTGCGTGTTGCACCAGATTGAACAGCCCATCTTGGTGTGGTGAATCTTCTGTCCTTTCTCATCCTTTCTAGACTTTTCATAACTGCATTTTCTCAAATTTTGAAAGTTTGTTATCGTTACTCTTGAGCACTACTGCATAGATCTTTCTCAAATTTCATGTGTAGGTTCTCCTTGGTCCCTTGTTTTGCCCATTTGATTTCTGTACTAATCAGAAGAAACAGAATGTCTTCCATAAACTTTTCCTCGAAAACACTTCTCCTGCTAAACGCCTTAGCAGATTTCAACCAAACTTGGTCTGAAACATCACTTGGGGTAGGGAATCATTGCTCAAATTCAGAAAGTTGATTCAATCCCAAGGGGCCTTGGAGCAGGCCCCAAATGGTTAATTAGGCAATTATTTTACTTTAATTCGCTCCTCTTCCGTAATGCTTGAGTGTCTTTCTATCAACTTTCGTCTGAAACATAATTTTGGGTGGTGAATCATTCCTTAAATTCAGAAACTTGATTTGACTCCTAGAGACTTTCAGGCGGGGCTGCAAATGGGAAAGTTAGTTTTTTTCTTCAAAATGCTACATACCCTTCCTTAATGCTTGAATGGATTTCGACCAGATTTTGTCTGAAAGCTTATTGCAGCCTGATCAAACATTCAACAGGGTAACCACAGTAGCCATGTTGTAACATGATTGCGCAACTGTTTCCATGAACAGAACCTACCATTTGAATTCATCAAATTTGTTAGACCACCATCAGCGAAATCTGTGGTTTGTCAATCAATTTATCGATTGTCAGATGGCTGTTAAGATCCCTGGCCCTCTTGTGTACATATTGTACGGCCCAGCCCCTTTGAGCAGAAGGGGAGGCGTCAAAAAAGGGGAAATAGAGTAAATTATTTAAAATTCTACTCCTGCTGTAGGAATGATGGATTCTGTTTCAAATTCTGTAAAATCCTTCGTCTGTAAGAGTGATTGGATTTTGTCCAGATGTGGTCTGAAGCATCTGTGGGTGAAAGGGAATCAATTTTAGATGCATAGTAGGCCTTCTTGGGCTGAACAGGCTGGGCACAATAGGGAAATTTAAAGACATTCTTTTAAATCTCTCTTTTTTGGAAATGCCTTGATTCTGTCCCCATTTGGTCTGAGTCAAAATGAGAAGCCAGATGAACCACCCCCTCCCCATGGGCCAGAGGTGTTGCGCAAAAGAGTATTTATGTTTGGTCTGAGGCAACCTTGGGTGAATGGGACTCAATTTGTATAAACAGTGGATCTGACTTTCATAATGACCACAGGGCTGACTGAATAATTAAATTAACCAGGTGAATGATACAGGCCCCATGTACTCTTGTGATTTATGGATATTTTTATTTCATTTCAACAGGAAATACATTTAGAAGAAGAAGCGAAGAAAAAAGAAGAAAGGGAAAAAACTCGATTCTTGTCGCTGTCTGATAGAGAAAAGGTATGAGCTCACTTTGAGTGAAGTGTCCGATGTTTTAATGGAGGATGCCTTAACACTAGTCATAAACAACTGATTGCATTTTGACTAAATTCTGGCAAAAGCATCCGAATGAACTCACATTATTATAAATGGTGGGTCTGACTCTCCACAGAGCAAAATATGTGAAACAGAGCAAATCATTTAAAATCCTTCTTCTGGAAAAATGTCTGGATTCTGTTTCAATTTTCATGTGAAACATCCTTGGTTGAAAGGGACTCGTTTTATATTAACTGAAGGTGTCAGCTCCCTGATGCCTTGTAAGGGAAATACAAAAAAATTCACTCATTGTTCTTCTCTGGGAATGCCAGGATTTTGTCCCAATATACTATGAAGTATGCGTGAGTATAGGGGAATTTGGGGGAATTTGTTTTGTATGAATAATGAACACACACACCTTCCACCATTCTCTTACCCCTTGGTTGAATGGGAATCAATTTTGTGTGAATTTTGGGGTTCAACATCTAGGTCATGTAAGGTCCCCAAATAAAACATTTTTTTAAAATCCTGCACCTTTAGCAAGAATGCCTTGATTCTATCGTACCGTAATTTGGTCTGAAACATCCTTGGATGAAGGGGAATTGATTTTGTATAAAAAGTGGGTCTGAATTTCTAAAGATCAAATACCCAACAATTTTGGACATAAAGATCCCTCTGGGATCTCATGTTTTAATGTCAAATCATTCCTTGCCTTGACAAATGCTGATTAAGTTTTCTCAACTTTTAAATAAATGTTTGTGTATAACATTTCTTCTTCCCTTTAGCGAGCCCTTGCTGCAGAGAAACGTTTACTGAAACAGACAGTAGAAGAAGGAGGGTCAACGCCCATTTTGAGGTACGGTTTTTGGAAAATTATGAAATACAATCTACACCTGTTATGTTGAAGCTTCAAGTTATTCCTCACAAACAAATCCTTCCCATCGATGGATAAAAACAAAGTCTAATAAGATTGTTTGATAGCAGTGTCCGAGCTTATTGATTTGTCTGCAACTCGAAGAACATTCTTTTTCTGAAGTAATAGATCAATATAGTTGTTATTTTATGCACAGAATTTCAAATTTTCTGTTATTTTGATAATGTGTATACACTTCAGTAGTAACCTGTATATCAGTTTAGGAGAAAAAGTGTTAAAATTGATTTAGGTGTGATCAGCGGATATCATGTGGAAGGCTATAAAGAAACTTCATGTTTGACGTCTTGATGTGCTCTTATCATTAATTAATTAAATACAACTGACGTTGTCTTCAGATAAGGTTGAATGTTTGAACAAAAGATTGAGAGACAGGAGGAAACATCGATTAAATTATAAAGTTGAATTGTTAAAAAATTTACATATGGGTAATATATTTTAGAAAAGACACTTCAATGTTATGAAAATTATCTTAAAATGTTGTTTTACTCTGCCATATGTAGTAAACAGTCTGTGATAGAGGATTTAATGGACATAGGACACATTTTTTCTCAATTCTATATCTTATGCTAATATGACATAATTTACTCGACTTGTCCCTTTCTGCGCCTATGTACCAGACCTACCAGTTATTTAAAGCTAACTGATAACTGAGTGTTCTGAAAATGCATATTCTGTGGGTGATAACGAGGCTGACTGACTTGTGACGTCACAGATGACCTCCTTAGAAGTTTTTATAACACAACCAGTATTAGATTAGAGTATGACGTTTTGATGACTATACGGTTAACTTCATTGTACAACACAACAAGTAGTGGATTAGAGTGTGACATTTTGATGACTTCATGCTTTCCTTCATCAGACAAATGACTAGTGTGGAGCGTACTAGCACTAACATACGTAGTATATGAGATAGGAAGGAATCGACCACCTTTATGGCTGTACTATAATCCTATGTACACTAAGTTCGAAAATAGTGTGACGACATGGTAAACAGTTTATAGACTGAAAAATACACCGGATAGTAACAATGTATTGTAGTCAATTCGACTATGCTTTATTTAACACTTGGTCATAGATATGGAAGAGTCTGTGTTCCCTTCGTCCCTGTTAAGTACTGGCCCACTGCGGCACACCCAGATGGCTTCCTTAACCCACCACCTAAAAAGGTTGTTTTCCCTGTCAACTATTTTGGAATTTCCACAGTCAATGATATGATTTTCCAGTGTGAAATGATCTGAGAGTGCAGATTTATTAATCAGGGACTGAGAATGTTTACAGTCTGATCTAGTGAATCTTTTGGCTTCTTGGGATACTTCCTGTCAATGGCTGGCTACTGTAAAGTTAGGACATATTTTTTATTTTTCAAACATCAAATTGATTCTTTATTCATCACTAAATGATGGCAGTATTTTACATTACTTGTTTATTCATACTGGTTTGTGTGATAAACATGTACATCAGAACCTAAACAACTAGAGTTTTAAATAACATATTGATTAAAGATCAGTACATTCTTAAAGGAATGTTTAAACACAGACTAAGATATATTGAGTGCATGCTTTAAATGTGATCTTTCCATCCGAGGGCATAAAAATGCACTTGTAAACAATGATATTTGTAAACATCAACCCTTGTAAGCAGTAATATTTGTAAACAACCTTTGTAACTAAGTGTTATTTTAATTTTTGACCATGTTCTTTTACCTGCATTTGAAAACTTTTAACAATGGCCATAACTATCGCATCATAAAAGGTATGGTTGTCATGTTTGGCATGTGTGTTCCTTGTGACTTTTAACCATGTGACCTTTACAGTGACCTTTGATGTACATTTGAAAAACTTAAACATTGGCCTAAACTATTGCACTGTAAGTGGTAGGCTTTAATATTTGACAGAGTTATGCCCCTTGAATGTAGAAAATTTCTGTTAGTTCATTATTTCTGTAATGGGTTCACATACTGAACAAATTGCAGTTTCGATCATTATCTCAGTATACAAGCACATTGTGTACATAAATGTGAATTCAGATCTCAATGAAGACAATAATGTTTCACAAAATGTGCATGTAACTAGCACATGCTTTACACATTAATATTTACTGTCCCACTTAAGAATTTTGTTGCAACAAGGAACATAGTTTTTACAATTTATTTGGAATTATTGTTGTTGAAAAGTGTTTACAGGTGTTGTCAAAAAGTGTTATTCTTGACAAAAGTAATTTACAGATGTTGTTTTAAGTTGTTTAAAGTGTTTCTTGTTTACAAGTCTTATTGTTTTAATATTTTGTCATTTACAATTGTTGTTATTTTGTTTACAGTCGATGTTTCCAGTGTGGCAGAGATATAACTGGAAAAGTTCCATTTGAATATTCCGACTACAAGTTTTGTACGACTAAATGTTTGAAGGAACATCGTCTATCAAATGCCAAAAAATAGAAATCATCCTTAACTTGGCAGTTTCCACGAGAACATAACAAAACAAAATTGTGAATAATGAGAAACATTTCCTGAGAAACATGTCCAGATGAATTTCAATTGTGACTGAACAATTCTAGATCACCATTGATCAGAAAGATGAATAAATTTAATGGCTGGTCAGCTTATTCTGTGGTAAAGGGATAAGATTGATTTGCTGTAATTTTGAACCTGTCTTACCACCTAGGTTTTCCTCAAACACTCCATGTTTCTTCATACAGTAAACATTGAATTCCAGTGAATTCTGTTTTCATCGGTGGACACCAGGCTGGTGAATTCTGTTTTCATCGGTGGACATCAGGCCAGTAAATTCCATTTTGATCAGGTGCAATCATGATAATGATAATAATCTTTGATGGTTATGATGTGCTGCTGTTTTGATGACTGGTGCATGGAATATGTGTTGTAAAATGTTAAATAATTGTAGTAGTAATTGTATGTATTATGTATTATTTATATATGTGTCAGGGGCATTATTTAAATAATATGATAAAGTAATTGGTTTACGTGAAATGTCATCATGATAAATGATTATAATCTTTGATAGTAATTATGTATCCTGTCATGATGATAAGTATGTTGTGAACTTATTTATGTTTAGTATGTGGTTGTGTGATTGTCTGAATGGAAATGTGTGTCCTGTGCTTAATATATCTGATATTGATGTAATAAAATCACTGGCGAAAGATAAAATGTCTTCTTGTTATTCCTTCAGTCTCCAGAGGTAGGGGAGATAATCACCCAAATCTGAAATGAGAATGACATAAATAGACGCCAGTAGTTTGGGTGGCTTTGGGTGTGTTTTGAGTGATTTGGATTAAGTTTTTGGTAGTTTTGTGTATTTCTCACACCCAGATGAGAATAAAAAATCGAAATTATTGTTCTTTCATCTATTCGCCCAGATAAGAAAATAATTAACAAATATTTACTATCATTTTTTCACCTGAAAAGATGACATAAATGTACACTAATTAGCGACCTTAATTTTCATCTTTGCAAAGTGAAAAGACAAAAATTAAGGTCACTTGTTGGTGTGCATTTATGTCGTCTTTTCAGGGCGAAAAAATCAACCACCGTAGATAAAGACAAGTCCGTCCTTATCTTTTCCAACTCTGGTGGAGATGGTAAATATGTCTTTGTGATCGGATTTGATAATCTCTAACAAATTCATCATCGCCTGAAAACAAAAACAAGTTGACAGGATAGGTGACATCTTTACAAATATACCGTGTGATAATGATTTTTAATAGCAATATCTATTGGTTAGTAGAATGGTATGTTCAATCTCCATGTAATTATTATCCTCAGAAACTAAATACCTATGTATGACATGATAGATGTATGTTAACATGACAAAACCATTTACTTCTACATGTACATTTTTAATGCACATTTTTGGTATTTTGTTACGTAAGCAAATTCATGGTTATGTAAGTTCTTACTTAACTAAATATAAAGTAAAATATTTTGATTAAAGTCATACCACAAATAATGAAAAACCCACAGGCGTTCATGCTATCAAGCCTTCAGACTATCAGGCAATTGGAATAATAGATGGACTGCTAGGAAGCCAAACTTATATCAATAGTCCTTTGAATGACCTTACCACCAAATCCAACGAAGGTAAATTGTGAGCATTCTCTGTTTCATTTTTAGTATGTTTCATTTCAGTTTTAGGCGCACTATACATGAAATATACCTAAATATAATTCACTACCATACACTTATATCACCATTCACCTTTCATTGAAATGGACTTTCAATTCCACAGAACGTGTGCCGTAAGTTTGAAATAGAGTATTAAAGTGTATGGAGAGAATATTCAAGAATGGTAAAAACACTTGTTAGAATTTTGTAATTAATTCCACTTCTCATGTAAACAAAATCATTGTAAGACTAATGATGTAATATTGCTAGAAACATTAATAAGATGCTTGGACATAGGTTTGATTGAATATTCAGAAGAATGAGCAGGGAAACTCTGTTTGTACGATACAGATTCTATAAAATTCAGGAATCCAATATAAAGGAGAGAGGTCCGCATCCTTGTTACCAATAGGCAAACAGAACTGTTGTTATACTAACACAAAAGTGCTGAATGACATAGGACATAGACTTTCTCAGTACATAATTAGATCAATATGTATGTAAAAAGACAAAGGAAGTATAAACAGGTTCAGAGGGTCATAGCATACATACATATGTACATATGAAAGGAATTGTTCCAGTTCTAGAGAATGGCACTCATTGGACACTCAGATACATATGAATCAGGAACCTTAACATTAGATACAAGACATCTTACCAAGTCTTTGTTGCACTGGGGACATGATGTGCTTTAGATCTGTCTTCTAAGCAAAGGGATGTAGAATTAAGAGTGATAGAAAATTAGAATTCACAGAGAAAAGGGATGAAGCTAAATGGACAGAATAAATACAGAATTGGAAAAAAATGTCCATGTCATGTAAATACCTCACAGTAATTCTTCTACTACACAAACATTCAAACTTAACCAGCTTACACAAAAGGAAATAACGTTGTTAATATTCAAGATAAGAGTATACATTGATGAGAACTCGACATACAGTGGCCCCCACGTGTAGCCTCAGATTAGCCTTACTGCTTCCTGTATTTCTCTGTATAATCTCAATGTCCCTGGATCACTTTTAGCCTTCACATGATAACTACTGTCTGTTATTGTTGTGATCAGTTCTTACTTTATAATGATTGTTTGGGTCAATAACACTGGATCACTTTTAACATTATAATTACTGTCTGTTATTGTTGCTATCAGTACTTACTTTATAATGATTGTTTGGGTCAGTAGAAATAGTCCTGTACTCAGTGAGTGAAATACATTATGTCTTTTGTCGGTAGAAGTCTGAACCACATGATAATGCCAAATGTAACTAAATATATAAGGCAGTTTATAGCACTAGCTTGTAAAGACAACTTATTACATACAAATCCTATCATGTAACATTAACCCACTGTGTCAACTGTCGCCTTTAAAACTGTGACCTCTAAAAGGATGAATTATCAGAAGATTCAGATACTCTTACCAAGTTCTACATTTACATCAACAAGTTTTGTAGGTAGTGTTAAAATATCTGAACGATTTCCTCTACTGGGATGTGTCCCAGATACAGAATATCGACCTGTTAATGAAATCTAAATCACGATTTTGAGTATAATGAAATATTGAAACTAGTTTTTTAATCGAAATACCATTTTTAGATCAGCTAACCCGAAGAAACCAAATTTGGACAGAGGCATTCTTCGGGGTATAGGTACAAATTCTGTAGAAATGATGTGTCCTTGCCCTCAGGGCCTGAGGGGTGGGGCCGAAAGGGGGGATTTGGCTAGTTCTTTAGGGCCTTAGGGGTGGGGCCCAAAAGGGGAAATTTGGCTAGTTCTATGAAATTCTACTTCTCCTATAGGAATAATTGATTTTTTTTTATTTTGCCTAAATTTGATCAGAAGCATCTTTGGGTGAATGGAAATCAATTTTGTATAAACTGTGGATCTCCGTCCTCTGGAGTGGGAGGGGCGTTGCCCGAAATGGGAAACTGAGCAAATTAATTGAAATCCTATTACTTCTGTAGGAATGATAGCATTGGGGTGGGCCCACTAGAGGAAATAGAGAAATTCTTTAAAATCCTACTTCTCCTGTAAAAAAAGAAAATATACAAGACATGAAGTTGATATATAAGAATAAATCATCCAAACCAATTTTATAAAATGTTTTCCTCTCCAAAAAATGGATATAACCAAACTATATGAACATTTAAAAAAGTTTTCCAAGAACGATAACTCTGATGAAAGAGTCCGAGATTATACGTGAAAACATTGATGATAATACCTATATATGATGAATTGGATGTTCAAATTACTGTTGATGAAATAAGTAATGTTGTAAAGAAGATAAAAAGAGGCAAGATTCTTAAATGATTGTTTTTCGAGTGGTAAGGACATTTTATTGCCTATTTTGTGTACTCTTTTTACAACATTTTGGAATTGGAATTTTCCTGCTGACGAATCAACAGCTGTAATTACCCCCGTATATATAAAAAGAGTTTTGTCTGGTTCGAATAATTTCAGAGGAATAAGTATTGTTAGCTGATTAGGAAAATTATTTACATCTATATTGAATAACTGGTAATTGAAATGATCTGAAACATATGATATAACATCTGATGACCAATCTGTATTTAGATCTGGTCTTAGTACTGTCGATACTTTGATGGGCTTTATTCTATAGTATATAAATCTTTAGATAATAATAAAAGATTGCACTGTTGCTTTGTTGATTTTCGCAAAGCTTTTGATAATTTGATTAATATATACATGTGAAATCACGTGTAAAATTAAATAATAACGATTTCTTCGTTAGTAATGTCTCTTTCACAGTGAAATATCATCACCGATGTTCTTTTCTCTATACATTAATGATTTTGAATCATTTTTTTATTCAGATATATATATATATATATATATATATATATATATATATCTAGTTACGACCTGGGAGAATTAAACTTATATCTACTGGAGTATGCCGATGACCCTGTATTATTTTCTGAATCTGTGGAAGGTCTTCAAGACCTGTTTGATAATCTAGATAAAACCTAGATACTACTAAAGTTTTTGTTTCCCGTAAAGGTGGAAGATTACATGGTAATGAGAAATGGTATTATACTAATTTTACTAAAATACAATAACAAATTCAGTTGTATCCAGAAGCAACTGGCTGTCCAAGGACGTAAAGCTTTGTTTACTTTACCTTCCAAGTTCTCCTATTTAAACCTTAATATAAAAGCCATGTTTATTTGATACTTATGTGGGTAGTATTCTCTATTATGCATGCGAAATATGGGGTTCGTATAAAGGACTTGATCTACAAGAGACATAGGCATTGACGCAATGGGGGAAATGGATTTTTTTTTCTGTATGAATGCATGGATTTTTCCCAATTTGGCCAGAATGGGGAAGAGAACTCATTTTTTAAATAAACGATGGTTCTTGGTCCCCTTGGACCAGATGGACAGGGCCCATTAGGGGAAATTGACCAAATTCTTTAAATCGTTGTTCTTCTGTAGGAAATTCTGTCACAATATGACTTAGGGTGAAGGAGGTATTTGTATAGATGTGTTGTCTGACCACGTGGAGGTAGTGGGGAAGAGATCCGATGGGTAAAGATATAACCTTGTGTTTTTTTACTTTAACTTGGATAAAGGAGTCAAAGCCAGGTGTACAATACAGGCCCTATGGGACTCTTGTGTCATATATACGAATGTATACAAGCAGAACTTGTACATGTGTTTACCTTATACTTGGAACAGTATATGGAACTGATATTTCGGTGTGAAAACTTAAAAGACTAGTACTTTTATTTTTGAAATGTAAATGAAGACGACACATTTCATATTTTGATGTATTTCACGTCCCTTGAAAGATTAAAATTCGTTTCCGATAAGCGCGGGAGCTGACACTGCCCGGGAGTAAAGCTCGCGATCCTCGCGTGGGAGCTGACGTGTGCTTCACGCCAGTTGGGGCTTGGTTTAACAGCGAGGCCACACGACGGATCACGAATCTGAGGAGTAACTTGTGGATCAGAGTGACATCTCTTATCTCTTCTAGGCTTGTCTAT